CCTCCTCCCACCCCCGCCCAAGCGATTGCACGGTGCTCCCGCTGGAAGCGGCCGTCCGCGCGGCCATCATGGCGAAGGACGCCAGGCGCGCTGTGGTCGCTGTGGCCCATGCGGCGGCTGCTGCGATGCTCTCGGTACGCGCGGCGCCGTCGCCACGGCCGCATCCTGCGGCTGCTGCTGATGCTGCATCCAGGACATGAAGCAGTCGCCTGGTGCTATTTCGGAGGCACGTCACGTGTGGTAGGGCGGAGGCGTCGTCGGCAGCGGCCGGCGGCGGCGAAGCAGGCGAAGCGGAAGCCCGCCCTCGACTGCGTCGAAATTGACGACGTCGACTTCAACGACGAGTGGGCTGACGAGCTGCCTGTCGTCAGGGCCGCTCCTGCTGCTGCTGATGGGGCGGCTGCGGCGCCGCCAGCGGTGGTGACGCCCCGGGCCAGGTTCGTTGGCGCTGGTCCGCCCTCGGCGGCGGTGGCTGGGGTGGCGGTGCCCGCTGCTGTGCTGCTCCGCGCGCGGCACTGGACACGGCGGAGGCAGAGCGCGCGGCCGCGACCGCGCAGGTCTTGGCAGTGCCGCAGTCGCGCCACTGGCGGTGCCCTCGCTTGCGACCGCAGGCGCCTTGCCGCGCTGCGGCGCTGCGCCGAGGTGCGCAAGGCTCGGGGTGAGCCAGGCCTGCCTGGCTGGCGTGCAGTGGGCACTGCCAGGCGGGCCCTTGCCCGTCTGCTGGCGCCACGCGTGCGCCACCGGCGCGGGTTGGGTTGCAGGCAGGCGGGGCCGTCCAGCTTCCGCTGGAGGCGTGTTCGCAGCGGACGCGCTCGCGGTGCCCGGACCTGGACGCCCGACGTCGTGAGTTTTGCACAGCGTCGACCCCCAGGTCGGAGCCCACCCCCTGGGATCGGTTTCCCGCCCCGGGCCGAGTCTGTCAAGGACCCAGGGGACGGCAAGGGCCTCCAGAGCCGAGAATAGCGAAACAACTTCCGTCGTGGTGTTGTGTTACAGCGCGAGGGGGTCTGGGTAGCCGCCCCTACTCCTCCTCCTCCTCCTCCTCAGGGACTCCTCCTCCTCCTCCTCCTCCTCCTCCTCCTCCTCCTCCTCTTCTTCCTCCTCCTCTTCCTCCACCTTCCCCTCCCCCTTTCCTGCCCAGGAGTCGAGTCGAGGCCTCTGCGCCTGCACCTTCTTGTCGGCCTGCCCGGGGGCGGGGGGTGAGGCGAGCGAGCTGGGATGGAGGATGAGGAGGGGAAGGAGGAGGACGAGGAGGAGGAAGAGGAGGAGAAAGAGGAAGAGGAGGAGGAGCAGGAGAAAGGGGAGGGGGAGGAGGAGGAGAGAGGAGTGGTAGGAGAGGAGGCGGAGAGGAGGAGGAGGAGGAGGAGAGGAATGGAGGAGGAGGAGGAGTAGGGAGCATCAGGAACAAAGAGTGAGGGGGAGGAGAAGAGGAGGAGAGGAGGGGAGGAGGGGAAAGGAGGAGGAGGAGGAGGGAGGAGGAGAGGAGGAGGAGAGGAGGAGGAGGAAAGGAGGAGGAGGAGTAGGAGGAGGAGGAGAAGGAGGAGGAGGAGGAGGATGATGAGGCGGAATAAAGGGGGGGATGATGAGGAGGAGGAGGAAGAGGAGGATTAGGGGAGGAGGAGGCGGGTGAGGGAAGAGGAGGAGGGGGAGAGGAGGAGGGGGGGGGGGAGGAGGGAGAGGGAGACGGAGGAGAGGGAGAGGGAGAGGAGGAGGAGGGAGAACATCAGGAGAGGGTACGTCCAGACGGAGTAAGCCCAGACGGAGACCGAGCAATATGTGTGGACTCACCCCGCATGGACTTAGCCTCCAGGAGAGGCTAAGTCCAGACGGAATACATCCAGACGGAGACCGAGCACTCCGTATGGACTTACTCCGCATTGACCTAGCATCCTCCGAGAGCAGAAGGGACAACTGTTTGGTCGCAGCGCCGGCGGTCGCAGGGCGCGGTCGAAGCCCACGCGGGGTCGCTGCATGGCGAATCGTACACAAGCAGGCGGGTGGCAGAAGAAGGCGGCCGCGGCCTCACACAAGATCGGAGGAACAGGAGGATAAGGAGAAAGAGGTGAGCGAAGAGACCGACTCCCAACGCGACGCACTTGCGCAGCGCCCAGGCCTGGTCGGCGTGAGCGGCGTGACCGCCTGAGGGCTGCTCGACTGAAAGTTCGTCGGATGAGGAAGTTCTGCTGTGGTCCTCGGAAGCGTGTTGCTGCTTATCGCTCACTCTGGTATTGCAACAGGTGCTGCGTATGGGGAGTTTGGTCACTGGCATTTTTAGCACCGAACCTGACCAGTCTCACAGCCTGACTGTCTCTGCTATCAAGCCCCGTTTGTCTGGCAAGTCTCGCTCCATGTCGAGTATGATGAAGAAGGACCTCGCCCCCATCTTTCGGGCGTCGCTTCTAACGAGCCTTGCTTTAAGCCGTGCGCTGTGGAAGAACTGGCTGCAAATCGGCGTCGACGGGGACGGGTTCGGCCTCGAGCAGGCAGGCCAAGTGATGCATTGGGCACAAGTTCAAGTGCCTTTCGGGGCCGTCAAGCCGACCTTGGAACGTGCTGTGTTGAGGCATGCATGTTCAGGACAGGATCGGTCAACATCGAATCGTAATGCGAAACGGATCGGGCTGCATCAGCACGGAATCCGAATCGAACCAGAGCGGCTGAGCCAGGATGCACAACGGCATCATGCAGCCACCGGGCCGCATCGGGCCCTCGGAACATCGAAATCAGATCCGGTCGCGATCGACCCTGCAGGGCTGCTGCTGACGAGTGCAGTGCTGTGTGTCCTGGCGCTCTCGACCCCATGCGCTGAGTGGAGCTCTCGACCCCCTGAGAAAGTGCAATGTGGCGTAGCACGTCGCATGTGCTGCGAACAAAAGATGGGCGCCCGCCCTCGTAGCTCGCGACGCCCGTCGCCACCCGGAGGGGGTTACGCTGGGAGAGCGAACCAGCCATGTCCCAGGGGCGGGTGGGGGGATGATTCTGACGGTGATGATGATGATGATGATGATGATGATGATGATGATGATGATGATGATGATGACGATGATGATGATGATGATGATGATGATGATGATGATGATGATGATGATGATGATGGTGATGATGACGATGATGGTGGTGATGATGGTGATGATGGTGATGATGGTGACGATGATGACGATGATGATGACGATTATGATGATGACGGTGACAATATTAGGTGACGGTCATGGTGATGATGATGATGATGATGATGATGATGGCGATGATGATGATGATGATGATGATGAGGAGGAGGATGCTTATGCTGTCGATGATGAAGATGGTGATGATGACGATGATGATGGCGATGCTGATGATGGTGGTGATGGTGATGGTGATGGTGATGGTGATGGTGATGGTGATGGTGATGGTGATGATGATGATGAAGATGATGATGATGATGATGATAATGATAATGATTATGATTATGATGATGATGATGATGATGATGATGATGATGATGATGATGATGATGATGATGATATTATGTGATGATGATGATTGATGATGATCCTGTACCTCATGTGGTGAAGGGACAGGTCTTCAGGGTCTGGCAGCGTTTTCGTGCGTTGCCCGCGCGCCGAAAAAGGCTGGAGCGCGCCCGCGCGCGTTCCGACACACCTCTTGGAGGTGTTCGCATCTCTTGAGCGCATTTTCTACTCGCGGCCACAACGGGCATGATGGGGGGGAGGGGAGGGGAGGGAGAAGAGAGGGGGCATGACGCAATTAGCGCCCCCCCCCTTGACTGTGGTGCCGGACGCACTGCGGCAGTGCCAGGGGAGCACTGAGGGGGGGAGCGTTACGTTATAGGGGGAGGGAGGGGGGGGGAGGGGCGTAACGCGCGTTATGACCCAGAGGGTAAAGAACAGTCTCCTTGGAAATAGTCGCAGGGCGGTGCGTGTGGCACATGCGTGGCGGCGGCGGCGATGCTGCCGCTCGCCACGCCTCGCCCTGGTGACGCTCGCGCGCTGCTGCGCCGCGGGGCCGATGGGGCGCGGCAGTGGGCCACGGTGCCTCTCGCAGCGAGGCCCTGGGCCACCTGCGACACGGCGCCGCTCGGGCTCCTCCCGCTCGCACTGGCACGCCGGGGCACTCTTGCCCAGCGCGTCGCGGCGGCGGCCCCGGCGACGCGCGGGGGGGCCCCGCCGCCTCTTAACTACCTACCAGACCACCCCAACCCAACCCGAAGCCCCGAATTTCGGGTCGGGGCGGGGGCAAGGGTTCCACATGTGTTTTTTTTCGATGGTTTCCGACCCCCCTCCACTGGAAGTCGAGGGTAAAGTTGAGCCTTCGGGTTGGGTTGGGGTGGTTTGGTGAGTGGTGACCTCTCGTGTAAGTACGCGAGGGGCCCCGTCGCGCGCGCGCGCGCCGCGCCATCGGAGCGCCCTGCCGTGGAGGTGGCGCTCCGGGGCGCGCCGCGCCGCCCGTGGCCCGCAGCACGCGGGCCGCGGGCACGGGTGCCGAGCGCTGCCGCGCCCGCGCGAGCCACGGAAGGGCGAGCGTGCGCGCGCCACGCAGAGGAGGGCACCGTGCGCCCCGCGCGCGGCCACGTCTCCCGTGGGAGTCGGGAGCCAGTTTTTGAAGGGGCCCCAGGACACACAAACAGATACACACAAATAAAAATATACCACATATTTTCCTATATTTTCTGGGTTTTCGTCTTCCCCCCTATATTTTCCTATATTTTCTGGGAAATCGAAGATTAATTGTGTCTGTGTGTTTCTTTCCCTCCTGAGTTCTGTCCCGCGACGTAGCGGCGCCCCAGGACCCCAAAAGCTCAATGCTCGCGCCGACCCTGGCGACTGCAAGCACAAAAACTCGGACCCCGTGGACCGCGTTTCGCGCGTCGACCAGCACCACAAACGTGCGTCTGATTTCGAGGAGGGCTGGATGCCCTGCGAACCGATGGAGTGTCGCTCCGCTCCGCGGGGCGGGGATGCTGGGGAGAGCTGGGGGCGTTGACCTCTGGGAATGGGGACGTGGATAGCGTGACGCGCCGAAGCCTGGTGGGCCAGAACAGGCGGAGCGACACGCTGAGCCAAAGCTCCTGAGCGTAGCATGTCCCCGGATCGTTTGCCCCGGTCCGCGAGTCCAGCGTCGGCTCGAGCGGGCGCGGTGGCCGGCTCCCCCTCATCCTTATGATTGCCAGACATCCTGCGATTGTGCTGCTTGTTTGCAGTCCGCGGCCCCTCAGGGGGGGAGGGGAGGGAGGCTCATGCTGGGAGTTTGCTGGTCTGCGCCAGGGGCATTCGTAAACGGGGCCAGGCCCGAACGGTGGTGCCCCCTGCACACGGCATCTCCGAGCTACGAAGTGGTGCTGCATGTAGCTGACGACGTCAGGCCTCAGCTCCGCATACACACACACAGACACACACACACACACACACACACACATGCCAGAATCGAGGAACAATCGCCGGGATTGCAGGGATCCTTCCTCCAATCATCGATCCTCGGTATCCTCGAAAATTGGGGAATTTACCGGCCTTTAACGTATCCCTATCCCTAAGATTGACACGCCAAAAGGCGATGACAATCTTAGGGATTCGCCCTCAAAAAATAAGGGAATCCCTAAGATTGGCATCGTGATGAGGAGGTGCCCAGCATAGGGATAGGGATATGTTCCAGGTTGGTGGGAATCCTCGAATCAACACCGGGATTAAGACCACGAGGCCTGGGATCCTCGATCCGTCATCCTCCATCCTCGATCCTCAATCCAAACACCTCGACCTCGACCATCCATCCTCGAAGCGCCATCCTCGGTCGCCCATCCTCCATCGTCGCTTCTCCACCCCTCAACCTCCATCCTCATCCTCCATCCTCGACACGCCCTCCTCCATCCTCGATCCTCCGTCCTCGATCCTTCGTCCTCGATCCATCGTCGATCCCCGATCCAGTGGGGGCGAAAGGACCAGTCCTCCGCAGGCCTGAGCCGCCGACGAGCACGAGGACGACGAGGACGGCCACGACGTCCAGGACAAGAAGGACGAGGACGACGAGGAGGAACGGGATCCTCGGCCACCCTTCATCCTTAGCCACCGACGGGGACGAGGATGCTGGCGAGGAGGACGAGGAGGAGGGAAAGAGGAGGTCGACAGCTGCCGACGAGGACCAGGAGGAGGTCTGAGCCGCCGACGAGGACGAGGAACGGGATCCTCCATCCTCTATCCTTACGATCAAGACGCTCATGCAGAGAACCATGTTCGGAGTCTCCTCAGGCCAGTACCATGTTCGGACTCCCCTCAGGCCGGGCTCCAAAGCGGTACTTTGCACAGTGTTCGGCCATGGATGCCAGTATGCCGCTCCTGGGCCGGAGACCGACGACGATCGGGAGGCGCCTCGGGCCAGAACAAAGGCGATGTGACACCCTATCCTACAGTTCCCGACAGTACAGGTCGTCCGCGGAATCCTCATGTCAGGAGAGGCGAAGCCCAGACGGAGAAAGCCCAGACGGAGACCGAGCGCTCCGTATGGACTTAGTCCGCATGGACTTGGCCTCCTATCCGGAGAGGGCGGGTCCAGCCGAAGTAAGCTCATACGGAGACCGAGCACTCCGTATGTGGACTTATTCCATATGGACGTAGCATCCTCCGACATCCTCGATCCCCCATTCGGCCACACGCAAGGGTGACCCTGGGCACGAGCGACCTTTGGTGCGCGGCTTCTGGCGGGGCCGAATCCAGGCGCGCAAGCCGCTGCCGTCGCCCCGCGCTCGGTGAATTGTTCGGCGACCGGGGGGGCCCCACTGGGCCCGCACCAAAGGTCACCCCAGCGAAGGGTCACTCCCCGGACCCCCGACGTCCTGATTTGTTCGTAACGTCGACCCCTACAGGTCTGGACCCTGTCCCTGGGACCCGGTTTTCATCCTGAGTCGTTTTTTGACCGTCCCGGGGCCCGGTAAGGGCCCCAGGAGGCCGAAAATCATGAAAAACACCTCCCGTCGCGATTTGCTCGCAAAGCGGAAAGGGGTCTGGGTCTTACGTTTGGTCGCTCCAGCCCCGCTCCGCCGGGCACGACAGGCCACGCCCGGGCCGCGCAGGGAGGGGCGCGCCTCCGCCGCCGCCCGTGCGCCCTCGCGCTTGGCGGAGGCCACGGCCGTCTGCTCCTGTGGCCGCGCCCCGTCGCGCGCCGCCGCCCGATCGGAGCCGCAGCCCCTCGACGAGGGGGCGATGCAGGCGTGCTGCAGCCTCCTCCGTCCTCCTCCATCCTCCTCTATGCTCCCTCCCCCCTCCTCCTCCTCCTCATTCTCCTCCTCCTCCATCTCCTCCTCCTCCTCCTCCTCCTCCTCCTCCTCCTCTTCCTCCTCCTCCTCCTCCTTCCTCCTTCCTCCTCCTTCCTCCTCCTCCTCCTCCTCCTCTCCTCCCCTCCTCCTCCTCCGGCCTCCGCCTCCTCCTCCTCCTCCTCCTCCTCCTCCTCCTCCTCCTCCCTCCTCCTCCTCCTCCCTCCTCCTCCTCCATTCCTCCTCCTCCCTCCTCCTCCTCCTCCCCTTCCTCCTCCTCCTCCTCCTCCTCCTCCTCCTCTCCTCCTCCGTCCTCCTCCTCCTCCTCCTCCTCCCTCCTCCTCCTCCTCTCCTCCTCCGTCCTCCTCTCCTCCTCCTCCTCCTCCATCCTCCCTCCTCTCCTCCTCTCCTCCTCCTCCTCCTCTCCTCCCTCCTCCTCCTCCTCCTCTCCGCCTGCTCCTCTCCTCCTCCTCCTCCTCCTCCTCCTCCTCCTCCTCCTCCTCCTCCTCCTCCTCCTCCTCCTCCTCCTCCTCTTCCTCCTCCTCCTCCTCCTCCTCCGCCTCCTCCTCCTCCCTCCTCCCTCCTCCTCCTCCTCCTCCTCTCCTGCCATCCCCTCCTCTATGCTCCCTCCTCCCTCCGAATCCTTCTCCTCATCCTCCTCCATCTCCTCCCCTCCTCCTCCTCCTCCTCCTCCTCCTCCTCCTCCTCCTCCTCCTCCTCCTCCTCCTCCTCCACCTCTTCCATGCCTTGTCCTTATGAATAACTTCTCCCTGTCGCACTCCGAGGCGAGTTTTTAGGGCGGGCCGGGCGTTACACTTGAGATTTCCTCGCCAGCTACGACTCTGAAGCTTAAACATCGGGAACAGTTTCATAGATGGAAGGCGGGTAATTTTCAAAATGAAGCTCTCGCCTTAGCGCGGCGCACATTCATTCTGAGCAGTTGCAAGGGCTTCCAGGATTGAGGGCGGGTCGTTTTCAACATGTGGCTATCGCCTTAGCGCGGCGCACATTCGTTTACAACATGTGCAGAGTTTCATGGATTGAGGGCGGGTCGTTTTCAAAATGTGGCTCTCGCCTTGGCGCGGGGCACATTCGTCTTCAACATTTGCCGCCAGAGTTTCACGGATTCAGGGCTATCGCCTTGGCGCGGCACACATTCGTTTTAGACATTTCCAGAGCTTCACGGATTGAGGGCGGTTCCTTTTCAAAATGTGGCTCTCGCCTTCGCGCCGCGCACACCCGTTTACAAACTTTGCAAGAGATACGCGGGTTCCCTGCATCAGCGTACCAGAAATGGAGTTTTGAAAGGATTCAAGATTATGCGGGTGCAACAATTACGCTGTTTCGCTGTGTTGAAGTACCTAGAATGGGTTTCTGGCACGACTCGGGACCGTCAAGTCGCAACAGTAGGTTGATCCGTGGAATTGGAATCCCGAGAACGATGCTTTGACATGCGCCTAAGTCTTCAAACGGGTGTCTTCCAACGAGGCAGCTCCCTCATTCTAAATAAACTGTTGTGGGGGCCTGAGAACAGGGAGCTTGGAGGGAGGGTTTAGTTCAACATCGTTGATGGCTCTTAGGTTTTCACTGGTCCTCCTCCTCCTCCTCCTCCTCCTCCTCCTCCTCCTCTTCCTGCTGCTCCTCCTCCTCCTCCTTTTTCTTCTCCTCCTCCTCCTCCTCCTCCCTGCTACTCCCTCCCTCCTGCTCCCTGCCTCCCTCCCTGCGTCCCTCCCGCCGTCCTCCTCCTCCACCACCTCCTCCTCTTCCTCCTCCTCCCTCCTGCCTCCTCCTCCTCTTCCTCCTCTCCTCCTCCCCCATGCTCATGCCTCGCTCCTCTTCCTCATCCTCGCATCCTCTCCTCCTCTCTTCCTCCTCCTCCCTCCTCCTCCTCCTCCTCCTCCTCCCTCCTCCTCCTCCTCCTCCTCCTGCTCTGCCTCCTGCTCCTCCTCCCCCCCTCAATCCTTCCATCCTCCATCCTCATCCTGCATCCTCCATCCTCCATCTTCCACCATCCATCCTCCGTCCTCCATCCGTCATCCTCCATCCTCCATCCTCCATCCTGCATCCTCCTCCATCCTCCCCCTCCTCCTGCATCCCCCGTCGCCACCCAGCACGCTTCATCCTCCACGCTCCATCCTCCATTCTCCTCCTCCTCCTCCTCTCCTCCTCCTCCTCCTCCTCTCCTCCTCCTCTCTCCTCCTCCTGCTCCTCATCCTCCTCTTCCTCCACCTCCTCCTCCTCATCCTCCTCCACCTCCGCCTCATCTCCGCCTCCTCCTCCTCTTCCTGCTGCTCCTCCTCCTTCCTCCTTCCTCCTTCATCCTTCCTCCTTCCTCCTGCCTCCTGCATCCTGCTTCATTCCTGTTTCCTTCTTCCTCCTACCTCCTTCCTCCCTCCTCCCTCATCCCTCCATCCTCCATCCTCCATCCGTCATCCTCCATCCTTCGCCTCCTCCTCGTCGTCCTCCTCCTCCTCTTCCTCCTCCTCCTCTTCCTCATCCTTCTCCTCCTCATCTCCTCCTCCTCCTCCTCCTCCTCCTCCTCCTCCTCCGCCTCATCCTCCTCCTCATCCTCCTCATCATCATCATCATCATCATCATCAGCATCATCATCATCAGCATGCTCATGCTCCTCCTCCTCCTCCTCCTCCTCCTCCTCCTCCTCCTCCTCCTCCTACTCCTCTCTCTCCCCTTCCTCCTCCTCCTCCTCCTCCTCCTCCTCCTCCTCCTCCTCCTCCTCCTCATCCCCCGCCGCCTCCTCCTCCTCCGCATCATCCTCCTCATACAGCATCCTTCCCCACGCTCCTCCTAACTACTCATCCTCATTCGTCTTCTCCGTCGCCACAAAGCGAGGGGGTCTGGGTAGCCGCCCCTCCTCCTCGTCATCCTCATGATCGTCCGCATCCTCCTCCTACTCCTCCTCCACCTCCTCCTCATCCTTCTCCTCCTCCCTCGCCGCCGCCTCCTTCTCCTCCTCATCATCATCATGACCCTCATCCTCATATAGCATCCTTCCCCGCGCTCCTCCTAACTACTCATCGTCCTTCTCCTTCTCCTTCGCCACAACGCGAGGGGGTTTGGGTAGCCGCCCCTCCTCCTTCTCCTCCTCCGCCCCTATCCTCCTGCTCCTGCTCCTCCTCCTCCTCCTCCTCCTCCTCCTCCTCCTCCTCCTCCTCCTCCTCACCCTCCGCATCCTCCTCCTCCTCCTCCCCCATCTCATGGGCATCTCTCAGTATGCCTTTCCTGGAGGTCTGCGGGGACCGCAAGAGGTCGCTCCCCAGACCTCCAGGGACCCGAAGATGCCCAGCCCGAGGTGATGTTCGGGTAGGAGGGGGCAGGTCTGGGCAGGCGAGTGGCCAGAGGAAGAGGAGGAGAGGAAGACGTCTGGCAGAGGGTTAAGGCTCGGAAGCTGCCCGAGTTGCGCCCAAAGCCCTGCCGCAAGTTGCCTCGTCCGACATGTCGCGTGCCCGCATTTGGATCCCCCCAGGACCGAAGGGTCCTCGATGACCTCGGCCCAGCCGTGCCTCGCTGCCGACCTGATCATCCGATCGATTGGGCAGGCCTCTGTTGGGCGGAAGGCTCGGTGATGCCTTGCGTTCGGCGCGCTGTTCCCCACGAGCAGGGCTGGCTTCACCACCCCGCGCGCAAAGCTACTCCGCGTCGCCATGGCTGTAGCGCTAATTACTGCAGGGCCCGAGCCGCCCGCTCGGCCCGTCGTCTCCCCGCCTCTCCCTCCCAGGCCTTTCTCGTTCCTCGTCGGCGGCCTGAGGCCTGCCTGGGCGCGTCGGATGCTCGGCACCCGCTTTCGTGTGTCGCAAGGTCGGCAGCTCGGTCTCCGTAGCTGGCCCTGCCCCTCGCCCACCTCCGCGGCTCCTGCCATGGTAGAGTGGGCTGCTCTCCAGCGCCGCAGCGGCCCCGCAGCCCCTCCCGCGACACACGGCCGCTCCAACCTCGCAGCGAGCCCAGCCAACTCTGGCGACCACACCCCGAACAGGAAGCCTCGCGAACAGCACAGCGGGCCCCGCCAGCTCCCGCGCATTCTCCAGCAGCGCTGGAAATGCTCACCACCGAGGCGAACGCAACACTGCTATTGCGCCCGTGCCCGAAAAAAGTGAACGAGATCTCCATGTCAGCATTATGAGGCTCAAGATGAAAATCGGTCGGCCTGCGCGAGTGAGAAGGAGGAGCAGTGCAGATGCAGGAGGTTGAGAGGAATATCCCTCGGAAGAAAGGACGAGGAGAAGGAGGAGGAGGATGGCTGGGAAGCGAAGAAAGAGAAGACGGAGCAAGACGAGGGGGGACGAAGACCACGACCGAGGGGAACTTACAAGGGACACATACCGCTACTCCCTGGACCTCTCCCCAGGGTTCGTTCTGACCTGGACGTGGAGGAATCCAGCCGTGGCGACGAGGGCCCTTCACGACGAGCAGCGGCATTGGTACAGTCGGACCTGGGACAGAAGAACATCCCTCAAGAGCATGCGACCCTCCGCCGGCCAAGAAATACAGAACAGCCAAGGGTACCCTCCCCAGGGTGCACGAGAACGTCCACCGAGCACGAGGAACGTCAAGGTACCCTCCCCGAAACGACCTCGATCCTTTTCCTCCTCGGTCCGACGATATCTCTTCCTCCCCTGGAACGACCAGGCGGACAGAGGCACAAAAAACGCCATAAACATAAACTGCTCGTGCTCCGCGCGGATTTCTTGGATCTGCGCTGTACCCCCCTCCCTGGCGCGCGGTGCGCGCCAGGGGCGGCGCCGGAGGTGCTGCCAGAGGGGGGGCACAGCGCCGCTCCAAGAAACTCGCGCGGAGCGGCGAACATTTATGCTTATGGCGCTGCTTCTTCTTCGCGAGATGGCTGACGAGGAGCACGAGGAGGCGAGGGCCAAGTGAGAAGGCGAAAACCCATCCCCACCCCAAGAGTCCCGACCCCATCCCCGAACCCGCGATCCAGGGGGTCGGGACTGGGGGTGGGGGTGGGTCTCTCGGGTCCAAGAATCAAGAAAGCGCCCCCACCCCCAGTCCCGACCCCTTGAATCGCCGGCCCGGGGATGGGAGTCGGGACTGGGGGAGGGGGCGGGTCTTCGCCTTCTGACCAGGGGGGGGGCGCGGGCGGATTCTTCTTGGTGTTGATCATGGCGTTGGCTCTTCTTCGCGAGGAGGCCGGCGAGGAGCACGAGGAGACGAGGACCCAGGGGGGGGGGGCGGAGGGAGGCGCGACAAGGCACAACGGGATGGCGCGGGAGGCGGCGGCCACGCGCCGCCTCGAGGCGCGCGCGGGCGCGCCGCGCGGGCCCCCGAGGGGGGGCGGGGCGGGGGGGGGTCCTGGCGCACCTCGCTCTGCAGCGCGGCGATCTGCTCCTCTCGGCGGCGAGCGAGGGGGGGGGGAGGCGAAGAGGGGCGGGCCTTCGCAGAAGACTCGGAAAATTCCCCCGGCCTTCCGAGAAGTGTGTTGTGAAGCCTGTCCCGAAGACGCTTGACAAAAACCTTTGCGGAGGCTCGAGCGCTTCTTAGAAGTCCCGCCGCCTCCTGACGAGGACTTCTCCTTGTGAGCGTTTTCTGATTCGGCGTTTCGACGTTGGGCGGAAGGGGGGGAGAGGGGGGGGTCTGGCTCTGGACCTCTGCTTAATGCAACTCTTTGCAACGGTGCGTCCTATGGAGGAGACTCCCCCTACTTGAGACAGGCGAGAAAAAGCAGCCAAGGTCTACTCCGTGGGGGGGGGAGGGGGGGGTGCGAGGGCCCGCGCCGATCGGCAAAACCATGAAGAAGAAAACGATCACCTTCTCATCTCCCCCCCCTCGCCCGCAGCCGATCCTCTGGGAGGGGTGAGCCGCGAAGGCACGACGCCGACGGCCACGGCGACGTCGACGGTGACGACGGACGGCGAAGGGCGGCGGCACCAACGGTGGGCGCTGCTTCATGAGGGGGGGGGCGATACAGTCAGCTCGTATCATGAGCATGCGCGGTAAGGATGCAAGGGCCTTAGAGGGTCATGTTAACGTTTGTCGAAGGAGGTTGGCCAACGGAAGTGGCCAAGGGTGGACCCAGGAGGCAAGGATGCAAGGGTACCCTTGGGAAGGTTGCCCATCATTCCTATGCGGGCTGCCTGTCAACGATCGGGTGAAGAAGATGCACCTTTCGTGCACCTTTGGGAGCCCCTGGGGGCCCCTAGGGATAGGTGCACGAAGGCTGCACACTGTGTCCCCCGCCGTTTGTCGGACCAGACGTTCGAGGCGCACCCCGCGGTGGCGACGAGGGCCTCCTGGGAGGCCCAAAACGGCCCAAACGATGGAACGGTAGCGCCCAAAACGGCCCAAACAATGGACGGTAGCGCCGCTACCGTGGTGGTACCTTGGCGGGCGACAAACGGTATGTAAAATAAACCTGCCCGTCACAGATGGTGGGTGGGGCGCCTGTTTCAGGGCGGCTGGAAAGCTCACACCCTGACGTGCCACCCTAGGGGCAGAGACTCTCCAGCCGCCCCGGGGCAGCCGTCCCCGACGGCGAACAAGCTCCCTCCATACCGCTCTTCGCCGGCTGTGATGCACCGGTGCGTCTTCGCCACCCCCCCGACCCTCGCCATCGCTCGGACGCCCATTCCTCGTGCACCGTTGCGATGTCGCGCGTGCCTGCCGCTCGCTCATCCAGGAGGCCCCTCGAGGGCCCTCGCCGGGGCAATAATCTGCACACGTCCGAGGAATGCCGAGAGCCATGGCGCGCCGCCCGAGACGCGGAGGCCCCGCCGCCGCCGGGCGGGGCCCCCCGAGCCGGGCCCCGACGGCGGCGGCGATACAGTCGGGGCCTTGACCTAAGGAACGATCAATAAGGAACGAGGCCCCTTGTTTCCATAAGTTTAACTTCGATTTCCGATCGAAAACAGAAGGAAAACCTGAGGCAAGCTGCGAAACGCTTAAGGAACGCGGAGCCCCTCCCCAACGAAAAGGGTTCCTTCTTCAGGGCCCCGACTGCACGGCGGCAGCCACGCGGCACAGCGCGCCCCACGGCGGCTCCCAGGCCGTGCAAAAGGCGGTGTACGCGCCACTGGCGCAGGGCCACGGCTCGCGCCCGCGCCGTCCCCGGGAGCCGTGGCCACTCAGCAGGCATTCCCGGGCGGCGCCGGCGCGAGGCGTGGCGTTGCTGGCCCTCTCTTCCCCCCCCCCCCTCCGCCGCCCCCTGGGCGCGCGCCCGTGGTCGCCGAGGGGGAGGAGGAGGGGAGGAGGGAGGAGGGAGGAGGGGAGGAGGAGGGGAGGAGGAAGGGAGGAGGGGAGGAGGAGGGGAGGAGGGGAGGAGGGGAGAAGGACAGAGGGGAGCAGGCGGAGAGGGAGCAGGGGAGGGGAGGGGAGGAGGGCAGAGGAAGGCAGAGGATGAGGAGGGTGGAGGGGGGGAAGGGAAGAGGCGGGGAAGGGTAGAGGAGATGGGAATAAGTTCCAGGTGAGAAGAGCATCGTGGCCGCAGGGTGACGAGGGGAGAAGGGTAAAGAAGGGGATGGAGCAGGGGGAGCCCCGCCCCTCCTGCCCCATCAAATTAAAATACACCGCCTCCGAATCAACAGACGGCAAGATAGCTCTAACCTGTCGAGGGCGGGGGCTGGGTCTCGAATTCGACTGCTAGCGTTCCCTCCCCCTCCGTGCAGCGCTCAGGTGGGCGCCGGGGCCCCCCCAGGGGGCGCTCTCCAGCAGGTTGAGCCGCTCGCGCTTCGTCTTCCTCGCGGCGCGCCCGCGGCGGAGGAGAGGAGAGAAGAAAGGAGAGAGGAGGAGCGAAGAGAGAGGGGGAAGCAGAGCGGCACGGAGGAGGAGGAGGCAGGAGGGGGGAGGGAGCAGGCGGAGCGGCGCGAACGAGGAGAGGGGGGGGAGGCAGAAACTCGCGAGGAGCGAGCGAAGGCGCGAGGGAGGGGCGAGGGAAGGAGAGGAGAGTGCCTTCAAATTCCAGGTCTCAAAGTTTGAAGGTTTGAGAGTTTGAAAAAGTAAAGTTTGAAAAACACTTTATGAAAGGAAAGTTTGAAAGTTTGAAAGTTTGAGGAGGGCCGGTTGGCCTTCGCTCCGCGGGGCCGTCCGGGGAGCAGCGGCCTCGCCGGCCAGCAGCCCGGCTCCATCCCGCGGCGCTGCCCCTGCCGACTCGGCTCCACCGGTCCATGCCCCGAGGAGGAGGGAGGAGGAGGAGGGAGGAGGGGGGAGGAGGAGGAGGAGGAGGAGGAGGAGGAGGAGGAGGAGGAGGAGGAGGAGGAACAGGAAGAGGAGGATAAGGGAGGAGACGAAGAAGGAGGGAGGTGAGATGTGCGACCCCGACGCTCAGGGCCCGCTTGGGGTCTCCACCAGTCCGCCGGGCCCCTCGAGAACCATTCATTCTACAGCGCATCCGATTGCTGCCCGACCGCATCTCCACACCGTCCCACCCTTTCCCGACCCAGCCCGCCACTCAGCACTCTGTGATGCTGCCTGGCAAGGAGGCTGGGGTGAGGGTTAGCGGGAGGGTTAGAGGGGAAGGAGGGCAGAGCGGGAGGAGGGAGGAGCGAGGAGCGAAATGCGGGATAAGGGAAGGGCGCGGGGAGGGCGTGGGAAGGAGGAGCGAAGGGAAGGGAAGAGGGGGGAGGGGGAGCGAGGGGCGAGGACTGAAGATCCAGGAGCGAGGAGCGAGGAGCGAGGAGCGAGAGGAGAAGGAGGAGGAGGAGGAGGAGGAGGAGGAGGAGGAGGAGGAGGAGGAGGAGGAGGAGGAGGAGGAGAGGAGCAAGGGGGAGCGGCATCTGCACCGACGTGCTCCGAGGGCCGTGGACGCCCATCTCGAAGCGTTTCGAGCGAGGCGCGGTCAACGAAAGCGGCGAAGGATGGACCACGGAGGCAAGGATGCAAGGATGCCCTCGGGAAGGCTGCCCATCCTTACTATGCGGGTTGACTGTAAAGGAGCCCTTTAGGGCCCCTCTTTGGGCCCCTGCTGGCTCGAAAAGGGGCACTGAAATGGTTCCTTGAGGGCCATTTTCTTCACCCCCCATTTAGGCCACCTCCCATTAGCACCCGCCCGACTCGTTCTGGTTTCGCGGTGATAGCCCAGACTATCTAGTGCGGGGAGGGGGGGGGGCCGCGCAGAGGAGGGTACAGTCAACCTGCATAATAAGGACGCACGATAAGGATGCCAGGGCCTTGGAGGGCCATCCTAACATTTTTCGAACGAGGATGGCCGGCGAAAGTCGCTGAGGACGGGCCGAAGAGGCAAGGATGCAAATGTAACCGTGGAAAGTCGCTCAGCCTTACTATACGGGTTGACTGTAGGGGGAGGGGGTGGGGAGAGGGCTTCTTCGAAGGAGGCTGCTTCCTGGGAGGCGCTGGCCTCACCCCTACAGGCAAAGCCCGCGCCTTCTAAGAGGCAGGGGTGCTTCTGAGAAGCATCCCGCCATCCCCCTGCCTCCCTCCGCGAGTGGCCGCCGAGGGGGGGGGGGGGGGGGGCGGCCGACGACCTGGCACCTCCGCCTCGGGAGGCCACGCGCCCCCGCCCCCGCGCGCGCCAGTGCTGCGCACGCCCTGCAGGCCCGGGCAACCGACGGCACCAGATCCTCTAGGGGGGGGGGGGGGGACTGGCTGGCCCGATGGCCCGTGTCGCTGGACCCTTGAAACCAATGTCCTGCTCCCCCGCCGACCCGTGGGGTGTCCTCTGACCAGGATGTCGAGGCGAATCCGGCCGCGGCGACGCGGAAGACGTTAGCGGCATCGGCTCCTCTCTCCTCCTCCGAACCCTCGCCCACGGCGGAATGCCGGCAGAGATCAGGCGGCAGCGGCTCCGCCATCTGAAGCCGGCGCAAGCATGCGCTGGAGGGATGGCGGCTTCCTGGGCTATATGAGCTGCACCGTTAACATGGAGACCCTCTGCAGATGCGCTGGCTTTCTGCCAGGGCCCTCTGCTGATGCCGTAGATGGCCCTCTGCTGATGCTGAGACCCTCTGTAGATGCGCAGATTGCAAAGAAGGGCCCTCTGCTGATGCCGTAGATGGCCCCCTGGGCTGGATGCGTAGCACGAGTCTTTGTATTTTGCACAGACCGAGGCGCTTCCTACACATTACAACGCAATCTCGCGCGCATGCTTGCGAGCGCGCGGTTGCGCGGCCCTGTATGGCAGTGGGTCAACATATCTTTGATCGCTATGGGAGCCTCTAGCGAAATACGATTGGCGTAGGCGGCTCCGTATGCTGCCCGACCGACCTGCGCGTGCGCGGGGTCCGCGACAAAAAAACGTGCGACTCCGTGTGCCAGTGCGCGCGAGGGTACGAGTGCGCGTGCGCGTGCCTGTGCGCGTGCGCGGCCGCGCGCGCGCGTCGTGTGCTCGCGCGCCTGCTAAACAACTTTGCGGTTTTCTTCCAGCGAGGCCACACTTGAATGTGTCAAATGTGAGCCCAGTCGCCAATTCTCTACCCGCCTACGAATAAGATATGATGAGGACGACGACGAGGAGAAGGAGAACGAGGAGGCGCCATACTATCAAAAATGTGCAGCGCAAACAAGGCGAATCGACAGAGAACTGTGGAGGCAACCATCGATTCGCGCAGCTCTCGTCGAAGTGAGCAGGTGGGCCAACACGTCCACTGCCGACCGAGAGTCATTCTGGAAGACATTGACGCGGATGGCACATCGTGACTCCAGGCCACGGCGACTGAGGGAATTGCAACACCATCGCTAGGGCGACGAAATCTATACATATCCACTGCTCCCTGGCCAGGCCCATCCTCAACCCCGCAGCGGTGTATACGCCACGCCCTCCTGGCTTGGCCAGGAGGGCGCATACACAGCTTCTGGGTTCAAGATGGGCATGGTCAGGGAGCAGTGGATATGTATAGATTCCGTCGCCCGAATCGCAGAACCGTGGCTGGCCCATAACATGCTGTTGCAAGCGCTCCAGCAGATCCAGAGGCAAGCGCAAGCGACATCTGATTGATCGCCGCCGCGCTCCGACCCAACTGTCTCCTCCGACGATCGACTCTCGGGCCTTCCTGCTACTGCTCGAGCTGAAACCTCCCTCCCCCCCTCTCTCCCTCCCCGCTTCTCTTTCCACTCCTTCTGCGCTCTCCCTCCACCCACACTCCCTCAGGCCGTCCTCCTCTAGAAGAAGAACAAAGTCTGAATCCCCATTACCGTTTGAGGGTCCGCGAGGACCTCTTCGATCTGCCACGGACCCCTCCCCGGCACGCGGACCGCGTCAAGGGAAGCGCCTGAGGTGCCGCAGGGGGGTCCAGCGCAAATCCAAGTACCCCGCACGGGCATCCGAGAGTTTGTGTTTCTGTACTTCATGGTGTTGGTTATTCGTCTTCTCCTTCGTATTATGCTGGCTATTCTTCGTAGTATTACTTTACCATTCGTATCACTATTACTCTTATTTGTCATCATATTCGTCTTCTTGTTTTTTCTTGTCTTATCGGTATTCTTCTTCGACTCCACCGTCCCTCCCACCAAAGGGACACAAAAGGGGGGGACTGGCTCAAGGGGGCAGACAGCGACCTGGAATCGACGACAGAAATCGGCGAGGGGCCTGCGATGTCGCAACAGCACGCGCTCCCGGGCAGGCGGAGGGCGCCCCGCCCGGCGAGGAAGGGGCGCTCGGGGGCCGAGGCCCCCCCCCTGAGCTCTTCGCCCCCCGGCCTCGGGGAGGCGCAAGATTTGAGTCGGGCGTGTCCCCCACGGGGGGATTTTGGACGAAAGATCAAAGATAGAGGGCGCTCCGCTGGATAACCCCAGGGGGGGGGGAGGGGGTTGGGACCCCCCCCCCCTTTCCCCGATCCATCCTCGGGACCCCCCCCCCTCCCCCCCCCCTCCCCGGTCCGTCGTCGGGGACCCCCCCTCCCTCCCCCCCTTTCCCGCTCCGTCGTCGGGACCCCCCCCTCCCCCCTTTGGCCGCCAAATCGAACCCCTCCCCCTCCCCCCCTTTCGCCACGGCGCCCCCTGGCTCCAGAACCCAACCCCTACCACCTCACGACTCACTGCTCCCTACTCCCGACTCACTACTCACACTACTCACGACTCATTTCTCACTACCCACTACTCACTACCCACTACCCACTACCCACTACTCACCACTCACTACTCCCTACTCACAACTCGCTACTCAATTCTAACGATTCACAACCCACTACGCAATACTCACTACTCACTAAACACTACTCACTACCCACTACCCCCTACTCATGAATCATTAATCACTACCACTACGCACTACTGACTACTCACACTTGACAACTTTCTACTCACTGCCCAAACTCACTACTCACTATCCGTTGCTCGCTACTCGCTACTCCCTACTCCTTACACAATACTCACTGCTCACTACTCACTTCTCACTACTCGCTACTCCCTACGTGCTACTCGCTACCCGATACGCAATGTTCACCACCCACTAAGCACTACTCACTACTCAGTACTCCCTACTCCCTACTCCCTACTCACTAGTCAATAGTCACACGTCACTACCGACTACTCACTACTCAGCACCCACTACTCACGATTCACGACTCACTACTCACTACTCTCTACTCGCTACTCCCTACGCACTACCCACTACTCACTATACACTTCTCACTTCTCCCTACTCACTAATCACTTATCACTACTCACTACCCACGACTCACCACTCACTGTTCGCTACTCCATACTCGCTACTCACTACTCCCTACTCACCACTCCCTACTCACTACTCACCCCTCACTGCTCACTACTCACAATGCCATATCGGCTACTCACTATTCACTACTCGCTACTCCCTACTCGCTACTCACTACTCACTACCCACCCCTCACTACCCACTACTCACTACTTACTACTCACTACTCGCTACTTTCTACTCGCTACTCCCTACTCCCTGCTCACGAATCACTACTCACTACGTCCACCTCATTACTCACTACTCACAATGCAGTACTCGCTACGCACTATTCACTACTCGTTACCCCCTACTCGCTACTCACTATCTACTACCACTACCCACTACTCACTACCCACTACTCACTACTCACTGCGCACTACTTCCTACTCACTACTCACTACTCACTCCTCACTACTCGCTACTATCTACTCACTACTCGCTACTATCTACTCACTACTCAATATTCACTACTCACTACTCACTACTCACTATCCCGAGGCCAGACCCCCCCCCCCCTTGCGGGAGAGGCCCCCTCCCCGGGTCCCTGTTCGGCGCAAAGGGGGGGAGAGGGGGGAGGGGGGTCGAACCCCCCCTCCCCCCCTCCATCGCCAAGGGGAAGAGGGGGGGGGTCCGAACCCCCCCCCTTCAAGGGGAGGGGGAGGGGGGGGGGGTCGGACCTCCCCCACCCCTTAAGGGGAGGAAGGGGGGGGGGGGGGGGGGCGTTCGAAAATCTCACCCCCCCTTTGAAGGGGGGGAGGCAGGGCGGGGGTTCTGCGAGCACATCCCCCCTTTTGTGTATCCAGGGTCATCCTCAAAGATACCCCCAACAAATTTTTCAAAGTAGACAAAAACAGACGAAAAATCGTCCCCTGACTATTTTATTGACTATTTGGGATATCCCCCCTGTAGAAGGACAGGCCTGACCTAACGCGAGACTCGGGCACGGGGGACTCGGGCTTTGCCTGGCGGGGCGATCGTGAAAATGACGAGGTACCCATCTGAGATCTGACGCGAGCTCCCGCTGCAGGCATCCCACGAAAACCGGACCGTCAAACTCCAGGGCGCGCTCGTCAAAAAACTCTGGCACACCCAAGCTCCGGCTTACTCGAGTCTTACGCTTCCCCGACTGCCGGCGCCCCTGACTCCGCCCTCCCGCCTCGTGCCTCCGGCCACGGGCGCCTTGAATCTGCGGCGGAGGCCCAGCGCAGATCCCAGAAGTCCACGCGGGCCTCCGAAAGTCAATGTTCTCATGTCAGAGCGAGGGGGCCGACTGGTCTCGCACCGTCCCTGGGTGCGTGGCTGAAGTGGGATTCCGCGGTCGCAATCTCTGCTTGTCTGTTGTTGTCGTCATTGTCCTCGCCCGCGACAAGCCAGCGACCCACCCGCGATCCAACCCGCGACCCAAGTCGAGACCCCAGCCGCGACCCCACCCGCGACTCAACCCGCAAACCGACCCACGACCGATCCACATGGCTTTGACGAAGGTGCGGCACCTGCGGCGGGCTCGCTGGGCAGTGCATGAGAGCTCGGCGACTGCGGCAGGCTGCTTCGGAGGCTCGCAGACGGCCGCCGACCCCTTCGCCCCCTGACTCTGCTCCGCAGCTGCGGGCGCTCTGGCAGCATCTTACGAGTGTCCTTTCCGATCCCTCCCGCTGGCCCTCCTGCCCCCCCCCTCCCCCCCCCCTGCAGGGCAGGTTCTAATACATGGGATTATTTAAAATATCGGATTTTGAATACCTGATCAATATATGAATACATTTACCGTCATCGGCCTGACCTAAGGAACGAAAAATAAGGAACAAAGCCCCTTTCTCTCCAGGGAGTAACGCATAAGGAACTATAATTAATCAATAACGTATACGGGACGATGAATAACGCATGCAAGCATAAGGAACGACGGAGCCCCTTTTGAAAAGTTTGTGTTCCGTATTCAAGCCGCTCACTGTATGCATGAATTCATCGTTGTTTTTAGTATTACATCCCTGCATGCTTAATACGTGCTCCGCACGCGGAGCATGCATTGAAAACGGCACCTGTAGAGCCGCCGCGGCCCCCGGTGGAGAGGGCCGGGCGCGAGGCGGCTCTCCCCAGGGGCCTGGGCCTCCTCTCGCGGGCGCTTTTGCTCCATGCGGCGTGTCGCCACTTCGGGCGGCAAAGGGGGGGGGGGGGCACTCGGCGTTTCGGCACTTCGGGCGCTTTGCTCCTTCGGCGTTTCGACACTCCGGGCGTTTTTCTCATTCGGCGTTTCGACGCTTCGGCTCCCCAGAGGTCTGGGCCTCCTCGCGGGCGCTTTTCTCATGCGGCGTTTCGGCGCTGGGCGGCAGGGAGGGGGGGGGGAGGGGGGGCGGGGTCTGGCCCCCGACCTCTTTGTTTTTCCTCCAGAAACGATGTATTTCAGAACGTGCCCTACGTCACCCCGATGACTTTCGGCGCTCGTTCTGGGATCCCCAGGGACGCGTGTTCCCACCGCCACTGCACACAAGACCGGGGTTTCGCATGGACTCCCCGTGCACTCCGTGGCGAAAAACGGCCTGGCAGGCTGCGTGCCAGGGGTCTGGCCCCCGCCCTCTGCTCGGTGCCACCGCTCGCAGCAGCAGCGCGTCCCGTGGGGGGGAGGCCCCGCCTGCTCGCAACAGGCGCCAACAACAGCCGAAAAATCTACTCCAGCGGGGGAGGGGAGGGGGGGGGTGCGAGGGCCCGCGCCCGTCGGCAAAACAAGGAAGAAGAGAAGGATCACCTCCCAGGGACTGGCGTTGAGCCGGGCCCGTCCCTCTGCAGGAGGAACATTCAAAGACAGTCAAAAAATAGTCTGGGGACCACTTTTGCAGCACAGTCAAAGACAGTCAAAGACAGTCAAAGACAGTCAAAAAATAGTCCGGGGACCACTTGTTTTGACCGTTTTGGGATATGTTCTGGGCATTTTTCTTTGTCCGTCGAAAATCCCCCTGTATGGGGACACGCCCGACTTGAGACTGGCGCGTCATCCTCAGTCGTGTTCCCCGAGGGCACGGTCGGGGCCCCGAGGGCCGAAGGCTCGAGGAGGAGCACCGTCCGTCGCGGTGCTGCCTCGCGGCGCGGGGATGTCGGGGCCCCTCCTCGCACCTCCGCGGCCCCCCCCCCCCCGTGGAACGGAGGCCTCCCACATCCGCCGAGCGCGTTCCACTACTCGCAGAGTGCCGACTCGCAAACGTCCGAAAAACCATACGTCTGCCTTGGCGTGCTTCATCGTACATTCCCTGCGGCAGATCCGGGCCGTCTGCGAGTAGCGACTCTGCGAGTAGTGGAACAAGCTTGTCGACACATGAAATCCGAGTACAGTCGACACGTATCATAAGGGTGCGCGGTAAGGATGCCAGGCGCCTTGGAGGGCCAAGTTGACGTTTTTCGAGCGAGGCTGGCCAGCGATAGTCGCTAAGGATGGGCCGAAGGGGCAAGGATGCAAGGGTACCCCTTGGGAAGGTTGCCCATGCTTATGTGGGTCGACTGTAGATGGGGTCGGGGGATCGCGCCTCATCGCCGATGCATCGGCGATGCGTCAATGATGCATCGGCGACGTCGGCGTGGAACAGAACGGGCTCCGCGTCAAGCCGCATCGCCGATGCATAGGCGATGCGGAGCGGCGACCCACCGACCCCAACACACCTGCTCTGACTTGAGCAGGGACCGACCGTCCCGGCATTCCTATAGTCCTACCACGAAATGTTCTCAGAACCCAAAAATATTCGAATAACAAAAACAACGTTCTCAGAACGTACACCCGATGTATGAAAACAAGACGGTCCCAGCCAGAACTGTTCTGAGAACATTTCGTGGAAACCACGAAAGGTTCTCAGAACACTGTTTGGTAGGATTACACAGCCGTGACAAAAGTTTCTTCAATTTGCTATGATGAAGATCTCTCGCATCCCTCTCAAGATTCCTAACATGACATGATGCTGGGGTCATTCGGCGGAGTAGTTTCCGATCCCGGAGACGTTAATAACTCTGTTACCTCAGAACGGGATCGGAAACTACTCCGCGCCAAACCATACAAATTATCGAGCGGGATGCGATTGCGCGCGGAGTAGTTTTAGTAAAACTACTCCGAACTACTCCGCACGAGCGCGTCATTCCAAAAGGCAAATTGAAAGAAACTTTCGTCACGGCGATGTACAGGCACGCCAGGACGCTTCGCCACTGCTTGACTGACACCCTCTGCGAGGCCCCCGGGCGGAGGGCAGGGCACCGAAAGAGGGCGGCGGGAGGGCAGCGCACCGGGCCTGAGCGCCTCCGCCTCGGCAGCGGCGGCCGCCGTGACGTTGGCCTCCCGGGGCGCCGCCCTGCCCACCACCGAGAGACGACGAAGGCGAAGTCGGGCCTGTCCCCCCACAGGGGGATTTTGGACGAGAATGTAAAATACCCCAAAAATATTCCAAAACGCTTAACACAACACTCAAAAAATCGTCCCCGGACTACTTTTTGACTATTTTTGAACACTCCCCCTGCAGAGGGACAGGCCCGACTTAAGACGAAGGCTGGACGAGGACAGGTTCGGACGAGGATCAGCGGGCCAGAGGCTGTGCAAGATAAACTGCTCCGCCACTACTGGGGACGCCATCGGGGAAGTGTATACGCTGGCGTGCCACCGTATGAGGAGAAAGAAAACGGCTTGACACACAAACTTCTGGCGCTCCGCGCGGACTTCTTGAATCTGCGCTGGACCCCCCTCCCTGGCGCGAGCGCGCCAGGGGCGGCGCCGGAGGCGCCGCCAGGGGGTCCCAGCGCAGGCCCAAGAAACCCGCGCGGAGCGCCAAAAGTTTATGTCTACAGCGTGTCTCCTTCTTCTGCGAAAGCAGGCGAATGGGCGGACTCGAACAGACGGGTCGGGCGGGGTGACCCTACAGTCAAAAACCCCAATAAGGACGCGGGGCAAGGACGCAAGACCCTTGGAAGCCGAAGTTGGGATTTTTGGGGCGGCGGACGACGAAAACCTCGAGGACGCAAGAGCAAGGAAGAGCAGGGACGCAAGGGGTGCCCCGAGCAAAGTCGCGCGTCCTTCCTAGGGCTCTTGACTGTAACGGCGGAAACAGGCTGGGCGATGGGGCCCTAGTGGGCGGGGCGGCCGGGGGGGCGGCGTGGAAGCGAGTGCCACAAGAAGGTGGAAGAAGCCTCGGGCGAGAGCGCGGGTCCTGCAAAGATTGCCAGGAGGCCCCGTGCGAGAGCGAGATCTCCTGGGCGTCGAGCGCGCAACGCCTTCTCTTACATCGCAGGGAAGTCCTGGGCCAGAGCGCGATTTCCTGGGAGCCAGAGAGAGAGATCGATCTTGAATACGCTGCGAGATGTATCTGGCTGGAGCCGTTGTCGTAGCCTGGGTCCCAACAAACCAATCAGAGCCTCAAGATTTTCCTTCATTCACAACCCGGTGCAAGTCCTGGGGGGGGACTTCGACAAAAAGGTACAGTGGGCACCGAGCAAGACGGATGCACATTGATTCTTCTGAGATTTGAATTGAAACAAAAAATGCCCAGACTCCTGACATAAGGCTGTTTTGTCGTACGTTTGAAATTTTGGACGCCCGAAGTTGGTACGGAAAACTGGGTACAATGCCCAACAACAAATGTTGTCCAAAACCGACGACGGCGGCCGCTCTTGGGCAGGCGGCTTCTTGTATTCAAAGACCAGCGCCCGCGGCAGCGCGAACAGCGAGCCTTGTTCAAAATGAACAGGAACTGCTGTTGGGCATCGTACCCGTTCTTTCCGTACCCATGTCGAGCGTCCCGAGAGATGGGAAAGAGGACGGGGTACGTAGAGGTCTCCTAGATGGGGTCCGAGTAGATGGGGTATGAGGATCGCGCCGCATCGTCGATGCATCGACGATACATCGAGGATGCATCGGCGATGCATCGGCGAAGTCGGCGAGAAAATCGGGCCCCGCATTCAACCGCATCGGCCATGCATCGGCGATGCGGCGCAACCCTCCGACCCCATCTGCTCGGCCCCCATCTGGGAGCCATGGATGCTCTCCGTACGCACGTCGAGCGCCCCGAGACATGGGGAAAAAGAAGGACGGGGGACAGAAGAGGGGGAGGGGCAAGGGGCAGGCGGCCGACCAGGGGGCGAGGCTGGCGGGAGGGAAGGACGAGGGGAAGCCGCTCCCGCCCCCCCCGTCCCCCGCAGCTGCCGAAGCGGCGGGGGAAGGGGGGGGGGGAAGCAGCAGGAAGTGGGGGAGGGGGAGGGGGAGGGGGAGCGGGGAGGGGTGAGAGCAGAGGGACAAAAGACGGCGTGAACCTAGACTGTTGGCGGTTCGCGCGGATTTCTTGCGCGCCAGGGGCGGCGCCGCAGGCGCCGCCAGGGGGTCCCAGCGCAGGTCCAAGAAATCTGCGCGGACCGTCAAAGGTTCCCCAATCAGAGCTTGCCTCCGTAGGGGTCCTGGCGGATTCATCTGGTTAGGTGAAGCTCGTCGCCGATTTCGGTGGACGCCCCAGGTGCCCGGTTGCCCAGGGGCGCCCGGGTGCCCCGGGTGCCCGGAGGTGCCCAGAGGTGCCCGGGGGTGCCCGGAGGTGCCCGTGGGTGCCCGGGTGCCCCGGTGCCCGATAGCCCTATAGCCCTGTAGCCTTATAGCCTTGTAGCCTTATAGCCCTATAGCCCTAGAGCCCGATGGCCCTATAGCCCCAGAGCCTTATAGCCCAGTAGCCCAATAGCACTATGGCCTTATATAGCCTTGTAGCCTTATAGCCCTATAGCCCCAGAGCCCGATAGCCTTATAGCCCTATAGCCCTATATCCCTATAGCCTCACAGCCCTATAGCCCCACGAAGATCATGACTGGGCTGTTCTGTGGTATCCTTTATGTTTATGCCGTTCTCCTCCTTCGAGAGGGAGAACGGGGGGGGGGCAAGCTGGGTGCGCTCGCGCCAGATCTGACATCCTACGCCCACCCACCACCCACCCATCGCCTCGCACTGCGCTGTCTTGCTCCATCCGCCGACGCGTGTCAGGGCAGCCGTGGAGCTCCAAAGAGGACCCCTTATCGTGTGATGCGCCATCGGAACAAGCGAGCGGCGGCGTACATGTGAAAGGGTGGCGGATGAGCAGGAGGATACGCAGGAGGAAAAGGAGGATGGGGAGGGAGGAGGACGAGGGCGAAGACCAGCAGCAGGAGCTGGAGCGGAAAGAGCGGGAGAAGCAAGAGGGCCAGGGGAGGGCAGGGGAGGGGACACGAGGGGGGGGGGGGCGGCAACGACGAAAGAACTCGGATACAGAGAAGTGGCCCGCGCCGGGGCGAGGGCGCCAGTCTGAACGACGGGAGCAACGCGCCGATCCGAAAACGAGGCCCAGGCTGCAGCGGTCACGCCATCTTGAAACACCGAGAGCACTCGGATAATAAACAGTACGCGTTACTGTAGTTCGTTCAGAGTCAAAGAGCTTTGTCAAATCCCTTGTGTCAAAGATGGTGGCGGAGAGGGCGGAGCCTCTTCGGGACAGAGTCGGAGGAGGGAGGAGAGCAGTACTCGCAGCGTGCACTGTCTGGAAAGGAGGAGGAGGAGGGGAGGCAGGATGGGGGGAAGTGGGAAAAGGGGGAAGGGGGAGCGGGAGGGAAGGGGGGCGCGGGGCGGGGTGAGGGCAGGGGACGGGGAGTGGACGGGGATCTTTTTAGACGCTCGCTCCGGGGTGAGTCTGCGCCGCGGCGGCCCCGTCGGCCAGCAGCTGGCCCCCCCGGCTCCGCCAGGGGCGCCGGCGGCTCCACGGCGCCCGGCCCCGGAGGGAGAGGGGGAGCGGGGAACTGAGCTGCCCCGAGACGCCAAACCGCAACGCGCAGCGTGGTGCTGACACGGGGCTCGACACGTCGACCGAGCACTTTTTTGATCCGCGGGTCGAGAGCGCACCCCTTCCGGTCGAAGCTAAGCGGGCCGCGCGAAGCTTGAATTAGGCATAGAAGAGGAGGGAGGAAGCGGCGGAGCCTCAGAGCGCACGTAGACCGAACACGCAGGTCTGGCGCAATACTTTTGCCAGAACGTAGGCCACCTCGTGCCGAGCCAACACGCGGCGCGTCGACCAAGAGGCTTTGAGCACGGCTCGCGCTGCGTTTCAGCACGGGCGCATCGGAGCAGCTAAGGGTAAAGGGAAGAGGCGGATGAGGGGGGAAGGGGGGAAGGAGGGGAGAAGAGGAGGGGGGAGGGGGGAGGGAGGGAGAGAAGGAGGGGGGAAGGGACGAGGCAGATGAGGCAGGGCGAGAGGCACCCTGGCCAGAGGGGGGGGAGAGGCACCCTGGCCGGGGGGGGGGGGGGAACGGGAAGGGGGGGGGGCGAGGACAGGGAGCGCCAGGGGGCGCGGAGGGGGGGGGAGAAGCGAAGGGGGCGGGAGGGCCTGCTTCCACTCCAGCTCCGCCTGGCGGCCGCTCCTCCTCCTGCCTCCCTCCTCCTCCTCCTCCTCCTCCTCCTCCTCCTCCTCCTCTCCTCCCCCTCCTCCTCCTCCGCCTCCGCCTCTGCCTCCGCCTCCGCCTCCGCCGCCTCCGCCTCCGCTTTCGCATCCTCCTCCTCCTCCTCCTCCTCCTCCGCCTCCTCCTCCTCCTCCTCCTCCTCGCGGAGCCGCCGCGGCACGGGCCGCTCTCGCGGAGCCCCCCGCCAGCCCCGCATCTGCCTCGGAGAGTGGCCTGCGGAGGCACAACGGCGGCGCTCCCTGGCGTGTTGCGTCCTTCTTGGGCGTCCCGGAAGCTTCTCGTCGCCACGGCTGGATCCGCGTCCAAAGACGGGTCCGGATGGGCCCTGGGAGGCAGCCGTTGTCTCAACTGGCTTTCCTCCGACTGTCACTCCCCCTACTCTCCCGGCGACACGAACTAGCTGAACTCCTGCCTTTATAGACCGACTCATTGTTTGGTGCAACTGTTTCCTGAACGATCAACTGCCCTGCGCGCCGCTTCGTTACGTGGGGTCCTTCGCTTTCGTTTCTAAGCAAGTTGTGGTCTTGTGCTCCGTTGTCCGCGTCATCACCAGATTGCTGATCGCATCTGGATTCCCAGGGAAGTGGGCCTCCAAGTCGGCCTCAAGATGCTCTCAAGAGGCACCCAAGATGCTCCAAGAGGCCCCCAGGACCACCAAGAGGCCCCCGAGATGCCCCAAGAGGACTCAAAGAAGTTCTCACGAGACATCCGAAGAGACTCCGAGAGGCATCCAAGAGGCCTCTGGCCAGTCTTCGCACCCTCCGCCTCCTCCTCCTCCCCCTCCTCCTCCTCCTCCTCCTCCTCCTCATCCTCCTCCTCCTCCTCCTCCTCATCATCATCATCATCATCATCATCAGCAGCAGCAGCAGCACCATAGGCATGTTCCTCTTCCTCCCTCCTCCCTCCTCCCTCCTTCCTCCTCCCTCCCCCTTCCCCCCCCCCACTCCCTCTCTTCCTCAGATCCCTCCTCCACCCTCCCCCTCGTGGAGTAGGACGGCTTCCCGAGCCCTTTACTCCACTGCATCCTCCCCCACATTCATAATCGGGACAACTCGCATGGGCATCGTGTCTGGCTGGGCTGGTGAAGTTACGCAAAGCGCCTAGAATAGTTGAACGTGTATTCTGAAGACAAGCACGGGGCCACGCAATATACGAAAGCACCATGTTGACACTTGTCACCCCGAACACCGCGTGAGACAAACCAACTCATCCACTTGCGTCCCGAGAAGGCCAACATGGGGTCACGCAATATAAGAAGACACACGGATGACACGCGTCACCCCGAAACTCGCGTGAGAAAAACAAGTTTCACTTGAACTGAAAGCAAACACGGGGCCCTGCAATACGAGAAAGCACCAAGGAGACACGTGCCACTCCGAAAACCGTGTACCAACCAGCTGTTTCACTTGTGGTGTGGTGGCCGACACGGGGCCGGGCTGTGCAATAAAGCACAAGGCGGCACGTGCCAACCCGAGAACGGTGTGAAAACACCCAGCTGCTCTTCTTGTATTCTGAGGGCCTACACGTAGCCGTTCAATATAAGATAGCGCCAAACTGACATGCGTCACTCCGAAAACCAAATGGGAAAAACAAATGTTGCACTTGCATTCTGAAAGACAACACGGGGTCACACAGCGTAAATACACACACGCACCATGGTAAAGCGCGTGTCCCCGAACACCGTGTGATACAAACAACAAGTGTTCCGACATGTGGCCATGCAATATAAGAAAACACCAGGGTGGCACGTGCCACCCCGAAAATCGTGTAAGAGAATACGAGGTTTGCCACGTATGCTCTGACGGCCAACATGGGGCCATGCAAAACAAGAAAACACAAGGGTGGCACGCCGTTTGGAAGCTCCAATCGAAAATTGCGCTTGGGGGGCCTGTTGGGGGTGCTCTTTGGGCCGTCTTCGGGCGTCTGGTGGGTGTCTGGGGCCGCTTGGGGTTCTCACGTTGCCGTTTGGCCACCCTCCTGACCGGTGTTGGCCCGCCAGCTAGGCCAGGCAGGGACGCCAGTAAGCTCAGAAGTGCCAGGTGGCCATTCGCAAGGGCGTCCAGGGAGGCCCGCAGGTGTGTAAAAATGAGATGTAGGAATAGGTCGGTCTCTTTCTATCTCTCTCTCTCTCTCTGTCTCTCTCTCTCTCTCTCTCTCTCTGTCCCTCTTTCGACAAAGAGTTACAACCTCGGAAGCACGTGTTGGTCATGCTGCCCCTCCTCCGCTCAATCGTCCCTCTGCTCCTCTTCCTCCTCCTCCTCCTCCCCCTCCTCATCCTCCTTCTTGTTCTCTCCACTGCCCCACCTCGTGCTCGTCGTCTTCTTGCTCCTCTGGTCGGTCCTCCTCCTCCTCCTCCTCCTCATCCTCCTCCTCCTCCTCCTCCTCCTCCTCCTCCTGCTCCTCCCCCTCGCAGGGCCATCCTTCTCCAGCTGCTCGGCGTGCATCTGCGCTGCGAGCTGCTGCTGGGCGCGTGCGGGCGATCGGCTCAACCGCTGTGGGAAGCTCACAGGCACGGTGCCCAGGATGCCACGGGCAAGCACGACATGGGAGGATAGACAGGCAGACAGACGGGCAGGCAGGACAGGCAGAAAGAGAGAGAGAGAGAGAGAAAGAGACAGGCAGACAGACAGACGGGCAGGCAGACAGGCAGGCAGACAGGCAGACAGGCAGGCAGGCAGGCAGACAGGCAGACAGGCAGGCAGGCAGGCAGGCAGGCAGACAGACCGGCAGGCAGACAGACAGACGGCAAGACGGACAGACAGACAGACAGGCAGGCAGGCAGGCAGGCAGGCAGGCAGGCAGGCAGGCAGGCAGACAGAACCACCCACCCACACACACACAGAAAGAGAGAAAGAGAGAGGGAAAACTACACAAACAACCATACATATATCTAGAGAGAGAGAGAAGGGGAGAAGGAGAGGCAGAGAGAGAGAGGGAGGAGGGGACAGAGAGAGAGAGAGGGAGAGGGAGAGGAATTGGAATCCTCGGAGGTTCGGGGGAGAAGCCCGCAGTGAAACGTGTGTGCCCCCAATGGGACGTCGTCTTGTCTCGCGCGAGACGGTGCGAGGCGAAGCGAGGCGAAGTGTCTCGCGAGCTGGTCCGACAAGCACGGGCCGCACTCCTGCGCGCCGGCCGCCCCGTGGTGTGAAGGCGGTCCCGCTGGTCGTCCCGACGGCTGTCCCGACGGTTTGTCCCGATGGCTGTTCCGATGGTTGTTCCAATGCTTGCTCCGATGGTTGTCCCGATGATTGTCCCGAGGCTCGTCCCGAGGCTTGTTCCGACGTCTGTCCCGACGGCTGTCATGATGGCTGTCCCGTCCCGATGGCTATTCCGATGGTTGTCCCGATGGTTGTCCCGATGGCTGTCCCGATGCCTGTTCCGATGTTTGTCCCGATGGCTATCCTGATGGTTGTCACGATGGTAGTTTCGATTGCAGTCCTGATTTTCCGCAAGGACAGAACTGATTATTTTCTGCCAGGACATAACAACAAATATATGTGCTGCAGTGTAGAACAAAGTGCCCTGCGAGACCAGAATACCAATATACAAAAAAGCACGGCCGAACCATATTGCAAAACATACGGTCTGCGCGGCGATCATATGAAAAATGAATTATGAAGCGAGCCAAACATCTACAAACAAATAGCCTGCGAGGCAGGAGCACATTCTAAAGCCATGGAAGCGAATGCAACAACGACCGATGGCACAATACAGAAACACTACTGAAAGCAAGCAACGGAAGACTTGTAAACCCCAAGGTGCAGCAAGATTCCGATAGTGGCAATTATATGTGTCGCGTCCTTAGATGATAGATTGGCGTCCCGGATAAATGTCCCGATTGCTGTCCCGATGGTTGTCCCGTGGTTGCCCGTGTTTGTCCCGCGGGTGTCACGTGGCAGTCCCGTGGGTGCCCCGTCTAGGAGTAGAAAGTTCGAGACGGGCAGATGGTGAGATCTGTAGACACTTGTGTGTGTATGTATGTATACGAAGAAAATCATATCGGAAGACCAATAGAGCGGTTGATATGTTGACAGTGGGAGCGATGGAAAGATAGCGAGACTGATAGAGAGGAAAACCTGCATACACAAATATACAAAAATAACACTTAGATAGATCGCGAGCCCGACCCAGCGCCAACCGCAAAACGGAAGCTGCACCCGTTCCCCCTCCCAACCTCCTCATCACCCAAAAGGTGGTCATATGGGCATCTATATCTATATACATATATATATACATGTGTATCCATCTGTATCTTATCTATACATGGCGGGCGCAGCCTCGCCTCGCCCGCACCCGCGCGGCGCGCACGACGCGGGTCGACGAAAATTCCCGGTTTGTTGGATTCACCCGGTCTTCTTGGAATTCCAAAAACGGTTTCCTGAATTCAAAGAACGGGTTGCCTGAATTCCAGAACCAATTCTGTTGGATTCAGAAAACGGGTCTGCGTTTCAAGTCGATCTCATCCCCGAGCCTCCAATAGAGACAGGGGAAGGGACAGAGAGAGAGAGAGAGAGCGGGAGAGAGACGGAGGGAAAGCATTGGAGGGGAGACTGGGGGGAGAGCAAAGGATGAGCAAGCAAGCGAGGTATCAGCACGCTTCGCCTGAACGTCCACTCACACAGCCGCCCAGTCTCCTTCACTCTCGTGTTCGTCCGACCTTCCGTGCCCTCACACGATCACCACTTGCTGGTTCTGTCCACGCTTGTCCTGCAACGCTCCATCGACAGATTAACGCTTGACACAATGAGACGCCAAACGATGCTCCGCACCTTCATCTTGCCATCCTGCCCATCCACAAGCCCCAGTTACACAGCTGCATGGCGACTTGAATGCGACATCCACACACAACAATGCCGAAGGTGTTCACCACAAGGGAGGTCACCTCCTCCTGAGGAGGAAGGGGAGTAGCTCCCAGGATCACACACACACAGAGAGAGAACCACCCAAACGGCCAAACCCACCTGGCACTACCTCATTGAAAGGCCCACAAATCTAGGTGTTATGCAGCATCCGGGAAGTGCGCGTACTGGCAAAACAAGTTTTGATTCGTCGCATTGGCCGCACCCTGCCCCTCGTGCACCTCCTCGTCGTCGCCATCTCCGACGCCCCATCCCAAACCTGGCCTCTCGGCAACGAGTACACCCTCGCCGCAGAAAGACGCGCATGGACGCGCACAGGCCAAGGGAACACTTGCGGGGCCGCCCCTCCTCCTCCTTCTCCTCCTCGTCCTCCTCCTCCTCCTCCCCTCCTCCTCCTCCTCCTCCTCCTCCTCCCGGTCCTCCTTGGTCCTCCTCCTCCTCCTCGCTCCTCCTCCTCCTCCTCCTCCTCCTCCTCTCCTTCTGCTCCTCCTCCTCCTCCTCCTCCTCCTTGCCTCTGGTCCTCCTCCTGGTCCTCCTTCCTCCTCGTCATCCCCTCCTCTCCTTCCTGCTCCTCGTCTCCTCCCGCCTCCTCCTCCTCCTCCTCCTCTCCGCCTGCTCCTCCTCCTCGCTTCTCCTCCTCCTCCTCCACCCTCCTCCTGCTCCTCCTCCCTCCTGGTCTCTCCTCCTCCCTCCTCAACCTCCCCTCCTACTCCATCCTCTCCTCTTCCTCCTCCTCCTCCTCCTCCTCCTCCTTCCTCTCCTCCTCCCTCCTCCTCCTCCTCCCTCCCCTCCTCCTCCCTCTCTCCCTCCCTCCCTCCGTCCTCCCTTCCGCCTCCTCCTCTCCTCCTCCTCCTCCTCCTCCTCCTCCTCCTCCTCCTCCTCCTCCTCCTCCTCCTCCTCCTCCTCCTCCTCCTCGTATGTACGGCAGAGCCTTGCCGCGGCGACCCGGGCGGTGGTTTCCTTCCCCGCGCGGAGCCTTCCACCTCGAACAGCCGCGGCTCCCCGACAGCGCGGACCGTTCGACGTCGTCGTCGTGGTCTTGGTCGTGGTCGTCGTCGTCGTCGTCGTCGTCGTCGTCGTCGTCGTCGTCGTCGTCGTCGTCGTCGTCGTCGTCGTCGTCGTCGTCGTCGTCGTCGTCGTCGAGGTCGTGGTCGTCGTCGTCGTCGTGATCGTCGTCGTCGTCATGGTCGTCGTCGTCGTCGTCATAGTCGTCTTGGTCGCAGTCGTCGTCGTCGTGGGCGTCGTCCTGGGAGGGGCGAGTGGCCCAGCACATCACGCGCCGATGTCCCACGTAATTGCTGCCTCTGCCCAAGACCTGGGAGGCCAGCCTGGGCAGGGCTCGGGAGCTACGGCGCGTGTGGTTCGCTCTCGTTGTGAGCTCGTGCTCCCTTGTTCTGTCCTCTCGGCGGCGAGCGAGGAGGGCAAGGGAGAAGGAGAAGGCCTCCTCTCAGAAGGCAGCGGGCTCCTCAGAGGCCCTCGCGCCTTCTGAGAGGCTTGTTTCGGCGTCTTCGGGGAAGGCTCAGAGCACTTCCCGGAAGACCGGGGGGCTTCGGCGCCCTCTGAGGAGGCCCGCCCTCTCTCGCTGCCCCGTGGGCTCGCCGCCGAGCTTCGCTTCGCCTCCGCCGCAGAGCGACGTCACGACGGAATCGGCACGCGAAAATCGCTCGGGCCCCAGACCTGGAGGGGCAGCAGGCCTCACCCTGGGAATCGGACCTCCTGCAGGGGGCTCGGGCGCCCCTCCTCCTGCAAGGTTTCTGGTCGGGCGCGTCCTCCTACGGGCGGATTTGGGACGAGATCTTTAAAACGGCAAACAAAAATATCCACAACTAGTCAAACAAATCACCCCCAGGCTACAGTTTTACTATCTCTTTTCTCGCTCGGTGATGCAACGACGGGACAGAGAGGTTAACAAAATGTCCCCCCCCTGGGGCCAGTGGCATCGGCCACGCGGCCGGGACAGGGAACTGACCGACCCCTTCTCTGGAGGTGCGGGTGGGAAAAGAGAAGAGGAAGGGGGAGGGCGAGGAGGAGGAGGAGGAGACAAGTGAAACCGGATGCCGAAGGACACGAATCAGCCCCAGGCTTCGTGTCTACTGCTTCTGAGCATTCCTCCTGCAGAGGGGCAGGCCCGACTCAACGCAAGGCCGCCGAGGGCGCCCCGCGCCCGCGTGTCCCCGCGGTGCGCCGCGTGGGGTCCTCTCTCGTGGCGCCCGCGCGCCGCCCCCACCCCCCCTCCTCCTCCTCCTGCCTCCTCCTCCTCCTCCTCCTCCTCCTCCTCCTCCTCCTCCTCCTCACTCCTCCTCCTCCTCCTCCTCCCTCCTCCTCCTCCTCCTCCTCCTCCCCCTCCCCCCTCCTCCGCCTCCTCCTCCTCCTCCTCCTCCTCCTCCTCCTCTCCTCCTCCTCCTCCTCCTCCTCCTCCTCCTCCTCCTCCTCCTCCTCCTCCTCCTCCTCCTCCCTCCTCCTCCTCCTCCTCCTCCTCCGTTCCTCCTCCTCCTCCTCCTCCTCCTCCTCTCCCCTCCCCCTCCTCCTCCTCCCTCCTCCTCCTCCTCCTCCTCCTCCTCCTCCTCCCTCCTCCTCCTCTCCTCCTCCTCCTCCTCCTCTCCTCCTCCTCCTCCTCCCTCCCTCACCCTCCTCCTCCTCCTCCTCCTCCCTCCTCCTCCTCCTCCTCCTCCTCCTCCTCTCTCCTCCTCCTCCTCCTCCTCCTCCTCCTCCTCCCTCCTCCTCCTCCTCCTCTCCTACCTCCTCTCCCTCCTCCTCCTCCTCCTCCTCCCCCCCTCCTCCTCCTCCTCCTCCTCCTCCTCCTCCTCCTCCTCCTCCTCCTTCCGGAGAGAAGGGCAGCCGCCCCGGCTGATGTCGCGACGCGCGAAAGGAGCACGTCTCTCCGCGGGTGACCCAGGCTCTCAAGGCGGGGGGGGAGGACAGGAGAGCCCAGGATCAAATCGATAAGTCGGCTCGGCGACGGTCATGAATCGGATCGGCGGAGATCGGCAGCCGCGTCGGGAGAAGTCGGATCGGCGGAAATCGGCAGGCTGGTATGCCTCCAATAAAAAATTGGGAGTCGATGCGCTTGCCCCCGAGACGAACCCCCCCTAATGCCGAGGACCTCCCAGGAGGCCCCCACGGCATCCAGAGCACCCCTATAACCCCAGAATGAGGCCCAGAGGGCCACATAGGGCCACGAGACCTATACATATGCACCGCCGCTGGGCAGGCTCATCCTGGGCCCAAGAGCAGTGAGTGCATGTGCCCAGTGTGGGTCTGGCCAGCGGCGGTGGAAAAAAATAGATCCCATCGCCCTGCCCCAGGGGCCCCAAAATGGCGCGAAAAGCCGTGGACGCCTTGGGCCAGGAACACGTTTACAGCGGCATGGCGAAAGTTCCTTTGAAAATTCGAGGGCCCACTGACGCACCAAAATGAGATCAGCGCCCCCTTCCCCCCTTAGAGTCCGAACAAGAAAAGCATTGTCGGGATTCCCCCAGCGGCCAGATGAATAGGCCCTTGGGGCACTGGTGCTTAATAACAATAGCAACTAGATCCTGGATAGACAATATCCCTTTCACTGTTCACCTTACAAGCCATTCTCCCAGCCTGTCCCAGAAGCTGGCCACATGATCGCGTTGGGATCTCACGTGCGAAACAATATTATCCGAGGGTCGTCCCGATGCTCACCCTTCGGTGACTTCGAGCATCTGCATTTCACAAGAAACTTGTAAGGAACCGAACTGTATACACCTATGGTTTTTCCGGTCCCGCACTGAAATTCGCACATGAAAAAGGATTATGGTGTATACCACATCCTGGTGTATACAATCTTCGCTGTTTCCCCGGGAAGACGGGCAAACAAGCATACACCACACCACCCCGACGTCGTCCCCGACCCTGAAAACTTCCCGGGATCGAAGAACAGCCCGCCACTGGTAGCGTATATGCTCCAGTTGCCGAACTTCTGCCACGGCGATGTACCCACGCCCGAGGGAGGGACGGAGAACGTCTGGCCAGTGCCTTCAGCTGCGTCAGGTTCGCCGCCGCCTCGGGCGGGGGCGCCCGCGCGCGCCGTCGGCCCGCCGGCGCGGCGGCGGCCGGCAGAGGTGCTGCAGGGCTCCTCGCCGTCCACGTGCAAGTGGCGCGGAGGGGGGAGAAAACGGTGCCAGTGGCACGGGACGCACGGAGACATACCCATACCTGGCCATCGCTCGGACGTCCATTCCCTGTGTGTTTTTTTCGGTTTCGTGCGTGGCTTTTTCGCCAAATGATCAAGGATGCTCCTCGATGGTCCTCGCCGCAAGAAAAATGCACACGTCCGAGCGATGCCAAGTACTATACATGTCCTCCCAGGAGGCGCGCGTCCGACCCGAACAGAAATTGGTAGGCGCATCTTGTAGCGCATCGTTTCTCGAGCGGCGTGGCCAGGAAGCGCCCGCCACGGAGCTTCTACTGCAAGATTGCTCTCGGCGCGCACGTCGCCCCCTGACGGGGGCGGCGCACGCATGGCGTGTGGATGCCATGACCATGGACACCCTAAACAGTCGCATCCTTCAATGTTAAGTGTGTTTAAAATGTAGGAGGCATGTCCTAAACATGTTTTAACCATGTCGAACACGTGTTTAAGACATGTTTTTTAGACAGCTGGAAAGTATTTGGCAGCATGCTTCCTCTCCATGGATCGTCCTCCACAACACATACAAGCCTCGTCAAATATATCCAGACATGGAAGTTGAAATCCTGGAGCACGATGCTTTCGGGCACTTGTCAAGCAAGCGCGCTCTTCGATGCTGAGAGGGTGGGGTCGGTTCTTGGACAGCACCGCGCCCGAGTCAACAGGGATCCGCCAGCATTGGAGTATAGCGCTGAACCCACAATCACTGAATTCAGAAGTCCTCTGCTTATGTTTGACGAGGCTTGGATAAAGTCGGGCGTGTCCCCCTACAGGGGGGCTTTCGACGAAAAATAAAAAATACCCCCAAATACCCCAAAAGGGTCAAAAAACACCCCAAAAATAATCCCCAGACGATCGTTGGACTTGTTTGGACTATCCTTGGGGTATTTTTCATCTGTCGTCGACAATCATCCTGCAGGGGGACACGCCCGACATCATATCAGCATGTTTCGGGTCGGGCGAAAGGGGGGGATAGCAAAGGGGGGGTTTGAGAATCAGCTCGCGTAGCTGATTTTCCCGGCGCCTCCCGGCGCCGGGAGGCGCCCATGTATCGAGGAATGGGCCCCTCGGTTGGGCCGAAACCAGCTGCATGCAGCAAATTTCGTAACCCCCCCTTTCCCAATCCCCCCCTTTCGCCCGACCCGAATGTTGATCGCCGATCCACGGCACGCAGCCGTCGGGAGCCCGCCGGCGTGCCGCGCCTCCGCGCGCTTGCCCCGGAGAGCCCTGGCGATGCCCTCGGCGGCGGCACGGCGACGTGGCCCTCGCGGGAGGGCCCCCTCTCGGGGCAGGTCAGGGGTTCCTAGAGGCCATCTCAGAGGGGTTCAGGGTTTTTGGGGGGGGGGCAAGAGGAGGAGGAGGAGGAGGAGGAGGAGGAGGAGGAGGAGGAGGAGGAGGAGGAGGGGGGGGAGGAGGAGGAGGAGGAGGAGGAGGAGGAGGCCTCTTGGGCGCCTCTTGGGGCACTCTTGGGGCCTCCTGGGAGCTTCCTGGGGGCCTCTTGGAGGGTTTTGGGGGGGCTTTTGGGTGCTTCTTGGGGGCCTCTTCGGCAGTCTTAGGGCGTTCCTGGCTTGTCTGACGCCGTCGGAAGCCGTCCTGGGTCGTCTTGGGGCCAAGGCGGCCCAAAAGAGGCCTCCAAGACGCCCAGGACGGCCTCCAAGACGGCGAAGCTGACTCCAGGATGCCTCCAGCACGGCCCAGGATGCACCCGAGACGGCCCGAGGCGTCCTCCAGGTGACCCAAGACGGCCCAAGAGGCCCCCAAGAGGCATCCAAGACGGCCCAAGAAGCCTCCAAGAGGTCCTCCAGGAGGGCCCGAAGAGGCCGAAATCTTTGATTGTCCTTAGATTGTTGAAGGATTTGGTAATTTGCTTTTTTTCGGCATTCCGACGACTCAAGACGGCGCACGAGGCCCCCAATATCGCCCACGAGGCCTCCAAGATGGCCCCATGACGGCCCGAGTGGCCCCCAAGACGGCCCCAAGAGGGCCCAAGGGCCTCCAAGACTGCAACACTGGCCTCCAAGACGGCTAAGATGGCCCCAAACTGCCTCCAAGACGGCCCAAGATGCACCCAAGACGGCCTAAGATGGCCTCAAGATGGCCCAAGACGACCCAAGAGGGCCCCAAAAGGCCTCCAAGACGGCCCAAAAGGCGTCATGGAGGTCTTCCAGGAGGGCACGACGAGGCCAAAATCATTCATGTTCCTAAGGTGTTTGAAAGATTGTGGCATTTGCTTCTTCTCGGGATTCCGACGGCTCAAGGCGGCGCACGAGGCCCCAAAAATCGCCCAAGAGGCCTCCAAAATGGCCCCATGACGGCCCAAAAAGGCTCCCAAGACGGCCCCCAGAGGGCCCCAAAACGGCCCACAAGGCCTCCAAGACGCCCAAGATGGCCTCTAAGAACCCCTAATATGCCCCAAGAGGGTCCCAAGACGACCCAGACAGGCCCCCAAGACGGCTTCCGACGGCGTCAGACAAGCCAGGAACGCCCTAAGACTGCCAAAGAGGCCCCCAAGACGCACCCAAAAGCCACCGAAAACCATCCAAGAGGCCCCCAGGAAGCTCCCAGGAGGCCCCAAGAGTGCCCCAAGAGGCGCCCAAGAGGCCTCCTCCTCCTCCTCCTCCTCCTCCTCCCTCATCCTCACCTCCTCCTCCCTCCCTCCTCCTCCTCCTCCTCCTCCTCCTCCTCCTCCTCCTCCTCCTCCTCCTCCTCCTCCTCCTCCTCCTCCTCCTCCTCCTCCTCCTCCTCCTCTTGCTCCCCCATGCGTTCCCCGAAGTCTTTCCAAACCGACTCGGGGAACAACTGGCCCGATAGCTTGGCCAAGTTCTGGCCCAGCTGTCGGCCACAGAGGCGCTTCCAAAGGAGCAGGGGGCGGCGGTGATTCGCCGTAGGCGTCTTCTATAAGGAAGCCATTGGCCTGGCGACGGACAGATCCTTCTGCAGTCATGTATAGCGCAGGGCGCGGGTCTCTCTTCATAAACTGCGCGCCGCGGGGCAACGCGGAAAGCGGGCTGCTGAGGAGCACGCGCGGACGGGCGCGCTGAACTCCTTGTGGGGCACGATCCGCCTAGGGTGTGCCGAATCATTCGGATGTCCCCGCGCGAACACGCCCGCTGAGGCCACAAGCGGAGCTCCTCAAGGCACGACCCGTGCGAGGCATGCTCCGAAACGGGCGGGGGGTCGCCATGCGAAGCTGCCCATTGGTGCCGTAGGTGGAGCTCCTTCTGGGGCATGATTCGCGTGACGGGTTTGCCGAAATGGGCGGGGGGGGGCTGTACGAACCTCGTCTCTGGACCTGCAAGTAGTACTCCCTGTGGGTACGATCTGGGTGATGGGGTGTGCCACAGTGGGCGGGGGAGCGCAACGCGAACCCTGCCTCTGGGGCCGTGGGCGGAGACCCCTCTGGGCCATGATCCATGAGAGAGGTGTGCCGAAATAGGCGAGGGGGGCGGGATGCGAAAGATGTCTCTGCGGCAGTCCGTGAAACTCCCTGCGGGCCACGATCCACGTGAGAAGTGTGCCGAAGTGAGCGGGGCGACGCTGTGAAGCTTCCTGGGCCTCTCGGGGGGAGCCTGGGCCGTCAGAGAGGGGCGCTGCTGGACCATCAGACGCGTCCGGAAGCCGTCGCGGGAGCCTCCCGGTCTGTCATGGAGATGCTTCGGTAGCTGTGAGGCCATCTTCGGGCCCTCTTGGTGCGGTCTTCTGGACCTCCTGGGGGCGATCCTGTTGCGCTTTGGCCGTCTTGGGGCCGTCGGGGGTCCGTTGGACCCTCTTGGGTTCCTGGAAACCCGAAAAGTTAACTGGTTGAAACAATCAGCGTGTTGGGCATCCTCAGGCTGTCCTGGAAAGCCTCGGCTCCCCTCCGGGCCACCCCTGGCCGTCCTGGGAGCGTGTGGGGCGAGTTTGTGGAAGCTTCCCGAGACCCTCGTGCCATCTTCGAGGCCGCCAGTGACCGTCATGGGCCGTCCGGACCGGTCTTGAGGACCGCCTTGGGCCATGGAGGAGGAGGAGGAGGAGGAGGAGGAGGAGGAGGAGGAGGAGGAGGAGATGAGGAGGAGGAGGAGAGGGAGAGGAAAGGAGAGGAGGGAGGAGGAGGAGGAGGAGGAGGAGAGGAGGAGGAGGAGAAGGGAGAGAGGAGGAGGAGGAGGAGGAGGAGGAGGGAGGAGGAGGAGGAGGAGGAGGAGGAGGAGGAGGAGGAGGAGGAGGAGGAGGAGGGAGGAGGGAGAGGGAGGCGGAGGAGGAGGAGGAGGAGGAGGAGGAGGAGGAGGCGGACGGCCCGAGGGCCCCAGGGCAGCTCTTGCACGGGCCAGCGCCGTGGTGTCAGAACCGGGCGGGCTGCGCAGCCCCTCCTGCGGGCAACGGGGGGGGCGGCGGATCGGAAGCGCCCGAGGCGAGGCGCCGCCGCCCCCCTTCTGCCTTTTGGGGAGCGCCTGGGTGCCGAACCGTTGGGGACGGTTTGGGTACAGTCGGGGCCTTGACCTAAGGAACCCCCCAAAGTAAGGAACGAGGCCCCGGTGGAGGCTTCCTGGGACCCTCGCGCCATCTTCGAGGCCGCCAGTGACCGTCATGGGCCGTCCGGACCGGTCTGGAGGACCGCCCTGGGCCATGCTGGCCGGCCCGGGAGCGAATGCTCGTGGAGGAGGAGGAAGAGGAGGAGGAGGAGGAGGAGGAGGAGGAGGAGGAGGAGGAGGAGGAGGAGGAAGAGGAGGGAGAGGGAGGAGGAGGAGGAGGAGGAAGAGGAGGACATTTTGACATTCGCTTCGGGGATGATCTAAAGCACAGGCGCGTTCCTCGGACAGCAGCTGACCCCCAGGCGTTGCCTGGGGCGCTGCCAGTTCCGATTCGGCTCCAACGAACTCTACCCCAGGAGGAGGAGAGGAGGAGAAGGAAAACGCATGAAACAACTAGCCCGGGTTAAACGCTGCCCACCTTCTAATGAGCCGTGCCCAGGCCAGACGGATCGACGCAGACCTTCCCCAGAACGGGGAGGAGAATCCCATCCCACCCACCAATTCCTCCCCAGACACGAACAATCCCTGAACGCCAACTTGCAGGTTCGGACTTTCGGGCATGGTGAGACCATGGCAAGACCCGCCAGGGAAGGCCACTTGCTTTCGCCTGCGACCTGGCTGCCAATTCCTTGAACTGTCTGGAGGGAGGAAGGAGGGAGGGGAGGTGCATGAAGGAGCAAGTGGGGGAAGGAGATCAACTGCAATGCACTGTGGTAACTCACTTCTCACATACTAATGGGCTGACCCCTAGCAAAGCGAGGCCTTACCATCCCCCATAAGGGATGAAGAAAAGAAAGACTAGGGGATTACTTCGCCAGACTTTCCTGGACCCCTGATAAGAGTAAGAATAAACTGGGCAGAAATGCAGCTGCCCTAACTAGCGCCTGACAAGGAAAACTGAAGAAAGTAAGCAACCTGCTTCAACAGTACTGCCATGCTGGCCAAAAGGATACGGGACGCGTGAAGGTTAAAGAACGCTGGGTAGCTGACGAATGTCCGACCCAAACGCAGAACTGACCAAGACAAAAGGAGGATTCTACCAAAAACCTGTAGCCATAGAAACTTCGCTCATCTAAGCCAAAACAAAAGTAGCCTAGTTTGCCCATGATGTAATATAAATTCTGCCGCTGAACTGAAAGACTTGGGTGCTACCAACGACATTGAACTCCGTTTACTTTGAAGAAGAGGGGTCTGAGCTGGATCTGCCCCTCCGAGGAACAGGCGCACTGCCTGAAGCTGTGTTTTGATTCTTTACACGACTGAGCTCAACCTGGAGTGCCTCCAGCTGCTGCTGGAGGTGCTTTATCTTGATAGCCTGGAGACCACACTTGAGCTCCAGAAGTCTTGGATTCGACGGGGCTGATTCCATGAAAGGAAGGCATCGCTGTGCACAACCTTTGCACGCTTACTAGCGTGCTCTGGAGAAGTCGAACGAGGACGGTCGACATGTTTTGCACTGACAGATGGTGAATCGGAATCGCTACCACTGTCCAGAACATCTGGAAGTTTGTCTTCCTTCTTAGAGATCTGAACCTTCACCTTAGGCTCGACGTTTGATTTCTCGCATACTACCAACTAAAAATACTTGTCTTTCCCCCTGTACTTGTCCAAGAAACTGTCCAACTGATCCAGCATTTGAGGTTCGTACTGCTGGAAGACATCCGAGATCAGTAACTCGAACTGATGCCTGACTTTGAAATCCTGGCCCTGCTCACTGTCGGATTCTACCTGACCAGTGGCCTTGTCTTTGGGACCAGACTTCACTGCCACAAGAGGCGGCGGTGATGAATGCGCCTTCTCACTGTCGGCTTCTACCTGAAAGGTGGGCTTATATTTGTACTGAGTCTTCTCACTGCCAGATGCTACCTCAGCAGTGGGCTTTTCTGTGCGCCCAGACTTCGCTGCTACTGGTGGTGGCGGAGGAGGCTGGAGTGGCTGGGAACTCTTCCCATGCCAGGGGAGCCCGCACTTACAGAACGGTTGAGAAGCAATTCTGTTAGGGCAGATCCAACAGTCTGGTCTGCCGAGGAGGAGGAGGAGGAGGACGACGACGAGGAGGAGGAGGAGGAGGAGGAGGAGGAGGGAGGAGGAGGAGGAGGGAGGAGGAGGAGGAGGAGGAGGAGGGAGAGGGAGGCGGAGGAGGAGGAGGAGGCGGCGGACGGGCCGAGGGCCTCAGGGCAGCTCTTGGGCGGGCCAGCGCCGTGGTGTCGGAACCGGGCGGGCTGCGCAGCCCCTCCTGCAGGCAACAGGAAACCAGCCTCGAACGTATCCCTGTCCCTAAGATGGGCGAGCAAAAAGCGAGGACAATCTTGGGGATGGGCCCTCAGAAACTGAGGGAATCCTTAAGATCGGCATCGAGGTGAGGTGATGTCAGACATAGGGATAGGGATATGTTTCAAACTGGTAAACAGGGGGCGACGGATCGCCCACGGCGAGTCGCCGCCGTCCCCCCTGCCTTTTGGAGAGCGCCTGGGTACCGAACCGTTGGGGAGGGTTTGGGTCCGCGCGCGGATCGCGCGCTCCCCCAGCCGCTGTGAGAGCCAGCTGGGGAACACGGGATGGCCCGCTCCGTGGGGGGCCTCCTCGGGATAGCTTGGTTGCCTTCGGGCGTCTCGAGGGCCCCTTGGGGCCCCCAGGGGGCCCGGGGGCGTCCGTCTGCTGAGCCCCTCGAGCCGTTCGAGACAGTCTCGGGGCTTCCCTCGGCCGTCTTCAGCCCATGTTAGGAGCTTTGAGAGGCAGAGCGCGCCCTCCTGGGAGCCAAGGGTGGCCCATGGATCGATCGAGAAGGAGGGTCACAGGCCACAGGACGCCTCATAGCGGCCCACGAGGAGCGTGATCGAAGGCCAAGCCCCCCCGGTGCCCCACGAGGGCCCCAAGACGTTCAGGATGGCCTCCAGACGGCCCAACGCACCAAGAAATCGATGGGGAGTTTCAAGAGGAGCGCATTAGTCATGATATGTCCTCCGATGTCTGACATTTAATACCGCAGTCAGAACTTGCTAGAACCCAAGCGGGCGCGAAGCGCGCGCGTGGTTCTAGTTACAGCTATTCTCGGCCATCAGTGCCCTGCCTACGAGGGCAGGGGCGGGGGTTATCCGCTCGAGCATAGAACTACGCGCTAGATGGCACGACGGTGGACCATGCTCGAGTATACAAGTCATGGAACGTGTGGTGTGTAGTTACAGATCCTACGATCGAACATATGACAGCGCATCACGTTCGCGAAAACATATGTGCGGCATCATGAAGACCACTGGGAACTACGCAACAGTGAGAGAGGCCACATTTGAGACAAAACAATAACAACGCACATCATAAAGGCGAATATGGAAGAGAAGAGAACGATAGCAAGAGAAACAAAGAGAAAGGGACATATCCGATGTGAAGGTAAGAGGGCTACGCAAGAGGAGAAGAAGAGAGGAGAACGCGATGAACAGAAGAGGGCCAGGCTGCTGGAGCCTCTTCGGCTGTGCGATTGATCGCCACGCTCAGGTCATGATTCGCCTTCTCGGTCGCCTCCGCACCGGTGGTCCCCGATCACCTCCTATCACCTTCTCCTCCTCCTGCTCCTCCGAACGTACTGCCACATTGGCTGCAAGTCAGTTTGCATTGTCTCGGGCGAGCCAGACGATAGAAGCTTGCTGCAGTTGCTCCGTTGGCCGATGAACAGCGATTCGCGGCAACCAGCGGCGACTGGCTGCCACCAGAGGCGAGCAGGCCCGACGAAACAGCACACGGAACACGTGACAAACAACTGCGCCCTGAGCGTCGCTGCAAACTCCACCGCAGTGAGACCAGCACAGTCGGACCCAGGCCAGAAGAACATCCCTCAAGAGCATGAGACCCTCCGCCGGCCAAAACACACAGAACATCCTAGGTGCCCTCCCCAGGATGCACAAGTAGAGACCTCCTAGATGGGGTCGGAGCAGATGGGGTCGGAGGATCGCGCCGCATCGCCGATACGTCGACGATGCATCGGCGATGCATCGGCGATGCACCGGCGATGCATCGTCGACGTGGGCGATGCATCGGAGACGTCGACGTGAAGCAAATCGGGCTCCACATCGAGCCGCATCGGCGATGCATCGGCGATGCGGCATGATCCTCCGACCCCAGCTGCTCCGACCCCATCTCGGAGGCCTAGAACAAGCACGTCCAAGAAACACGAAGAGCACCGGGGTGCCCTCCCCGCGCCGGCCTCGAGCTGCTACCTCAGTCCGACTGCGCGTGGGCCCCACAGGCCACGACGCGGGGCATCGCAGGGCGAGGAGCAGCCGCGCGGGTGACGAAGCAGGCAAGAGCGGCCAGAGGCTGCGGCCCTCCCCGCCCGGGGCGGGCACAGGCCTTGCGAGTGCTCTCCGCCTGGGGGGGGCGAGGGCGCGGCCGCCCCGCTGCCCGCCGCCCTCGGGGAGGCTCGCTTTCCCGTCCATCTCCGCCCTCTGCTGTCCCTTCCTCTGCGCCCAGCTGCCCCCCCCCTTCCTAGTTCTGCTCCTGACCACTCAAGCACAGCTCCAACTTCTCCTCCTCCTCCTTCTCCTCCTGCTTCTCCTCCTTCTACTCCTGCTTCTCCTCTCCTCCTTCTCTCCGTCCTCCTTCCCCACCCTCCTCACTACTCGCCACATCATCATCATCATCATCATCATCATCATCATCATCATCATCATCATCATCATCATCATCATCATCACCATCATCATCATCATCATCATCAATACACATTCATCATCATCATCATCATCATCATCATCATCATCACCATCACCATCATCATCATCATCATCATCATCAGCAGCAGCATCATCAGCATCATCATCATCAGCATCACCAGCATCACCAGCATCACCATCATCATCATCATCATCATCATCATCATCATCATCATCATCATCATTATCATCGTCATCGTCATCTTCGTCATCGTCATCAGATTCATAATCATCATCAGCTGCATCATCAACATCATCATCCTCATCTCCCCCTCCTCATTTTCACCTCCTCCTCATCATCAGAATCACCAGCACCACCACCACCATCACCACCACCATCATCACCATCACCATCACCATCACCATAAACATCACCAGAAAAATAAACATCATAATAGCAAGAGACTAGTAACAAACATGATAATGTCAATCATAGAATCATCATATTATTCCTCCTCCTCATCATCATCGGCATTATCATCAGTAGCATCAGCATTGTCGTCATCATCATCGTCATCACCAGCATCATCATCAGCACCATCATGAGCAGTAGCAGCATCAGCAGCAGCAGCAGCATCCTCCCCCTCCGCCTCCTCATCATAATCATCATCAGAATCATCATCATCATCACCACCACCACCATCATCATCATCATCATCATCATCATCATCATCATCATCATCATCATCATCATCCTCATAATCTGCCCGCGCATCCTCTCCTCCTCCTCTCGCATTCTAGAAGAATACGATTTGGTAACGACTCGGTCGACAATTTGGCCAGTGAAGCTGCGGCATCATATCGCGTGCCCGGCGTTGAACGGGCTAAGTTGGCAAAAGCTGAATAGAGCGCCCTGCTGATGCGCCAGAGGCTGTTGCGTGCTATTTTGGCCGCAACGCGAGCCGAGGAAGCGATCCCAGCGGCAAGACACTACAGCCATGGGTCCCTTTACCTCCTCCGCCTCCGCCTCCTCCTGCTGCAGCTGGACGGCACCCCAGTGCCCCGTCCAAGTACGCCGTTGCTTCTGTCAAAACGCAGCACACGTTACTCGAGTGTGGGCGTAAATGCACTCGGTGCCGGTGTTTCAGCTTCAGCCAATGCATGGCTTAGCCATACATATTGCTTGGCAGTAACGTGTACAGCCACAATTGCTTTCACATCACCCGATGGGGCGCACATCCATCTATTTGGAATGTGGGTGCACCCGAATCGTCGAATAGCCTATCACGACGGCGTGGACTCGTGGTGTTGCCTCCCTTGCGGGAAGCTTGCAGCAAAGAGCCTGCAATTGCTTAAAGCAGCAGATTGCCCACAAACCACCACCGGCGGAGAGATCTTTGCTGAATGTGGGCAGATGCATGGCCCAAAGCTCTCAGCAAAGCTGAGACTCTGATAAGAGTGTAAATGCGGATTGTGTGCCATAGGCACTGTTTATTATCATTATCGTTATCATTATCCTCTCACCTCCTCCTCCTCCTCCTCCTCCTCCTCCTCCTTCTCCTTCTCCTTCTCTTCCTCCTCCTCCTCCTCCTCCTCCTCCTCCTCCTCCTCCTCCTCCTCCTCCCCCTCCTTATCTTCCTCCTCCTCCCGCTCCTGTCTCCACCGCCTCCTCCATGCCATCCACATGTTCCTCCTCCGCATCCGATTCGTCCTCATCCTGTTTTTTTCTATTTCCCCTGCCAGCCAGTCCCGATGTCGAGCCCCATCAACACCCCTGTCAAATCATACTGTGGTGCACCTGGGTTGAAATACTCAAAGCGGTCTCTACAAATCCTGTTCGCAAAAAAAGCGCACGGCAAATGCGCGCGCCGCCGCGCGCATGCCTTCATCATTTCAACAAGAAGCAAATGGTTATGTAACCATTCCGAGGCATCGCTGTTCAAACATCTCTCAAACATCCAGTGGTCGTCCAAGGAAAAGGTCATGCGTGTCACACGCGCGCGCATGTCAAAATCAGTAAGCAACCATCGCAGGCCCGACGACTCGGTCAAATAATACCATGAGGGTCACACACACACACACACGCTCTCCGCTTGCGCACGTCGAAATCTGTTTTCAAAAGAAGTGGTGTTGGAAGCATTTCAACACAGAGATGCGCAAACGCGCACGAAGCCCCATCGGCTTCTCAGTCAAACAAATTGGCCACCAAGCCCTGGGCATGGGGTGGGCGTGTCCTCAGGTCTTTTGCATAATCCTTTGAGCCTCAGTCCTCAGTCCTGCGGAAACGTTTAGTGGCCCGAGCCCACATGCTCAAATCTTCCGATGGCTTGGCGCGCTTCCCCTGGGCACTGCATCGTCTCCCCGCGTGACCTGCTCGGGCCCGAGAGGGCGCCCAAGACAGGCCCAGAGGGCCCCAGGCAAGATGCACACGGAGACGGCCGAAGAGGGCCCTGAGTCCCCGCTAGGTCGCTCCAAGACGCTCAAGATGGCCCCCAGGCGGCCCAAGAGGCCTCCAAGACGCCCGAAGGGGTCTCCAAAAGGACACCCAAGAGGCCAAGATCCTTGATTTTCCGTGCGCCTTTGAAGGTTGTTGGCGTTCTCGTCGTTTCGACTTCCCGACGCTCACATGCTGCCCTGGAGGCCCTCAAAATCGCCCCAAAACGGCCCAAGAGGCCTCCAAGAGGGCCCAAGAACGGCCAAAGAGGGCCTCAAGACGACCCAAGAGGCGCCCACGACGGCCCAAGGGGCCCCAAAGACGGCTCCGAGAGGGTGCCCAGATGGGAAACCCGAACGGACATTTCGAGCCCTCGGCCCCGAGGGGCCCCCAGGAGGCCCCAAGCCTCCAAGAAGCCCCTCCGAGGCTTCAAGAAGTCTCCAAGGGGCCCCCAAGAAGCCCCGAAGAGACTGCCAAGTGGCCCCAAAACTGCCCTCAAGAGACCCCCGATAGCGCTCCGAAGAGACCCCAAGAAGCATCCCTGAGAACTCTGACCCACAACCCAAGCACGGTGGCTGGATGGGCCGACGGCAATTACATTTGCCAGGCATTGTGAACTTCTGCAAACCCGCACTTCCTCGGCAGCCTCATCGGCACAAGATTGATCATCGTCATCATCATCATCATCATCATCATCATCATCATCATCATCATCATCATCATCATCATCATCATCATCAGCCTCATCAATGATACCGTCATCGTCATCACCATGATCATCATCATCGTCGTCGTCATCATCATCGCCACCGCCGTCACCATCGTCATCGTTGATGTCGCCACCCTCGTCAAACGTCTGCGCGCGCACTTCCTCCTCTTCATCCTCGCCAGCACCATCGTCATCGCCAGCGTCGTCATTGCCACCACCATCATCATCATCATCATCATCATCATCAGCATCATCATCATCGTCACCATCAGCTACATCACCATCACCATGAACATCACCATCACCATCACCATCACCATCGTCGTCAACAGCGTCGTCAACAGCGTCGCCGCCGTCGACGTGAACATCATCATGGGCATCGTCATCGTCGCTGTCATCGCCCAGTTGCGTTTTGCGATCAAGTCGCGGTTGGGTGGGTGGGATGTGTGCACGAGCATCGGAGAAGACGACTACTAGATTCACGAGTACACTGCATCACACAAGTGCCCCATGTGTTACACCGCCCCGCCAGCAAACATCCTCTTGCTGCCCCAGCTCTTGCTGTTATTCCTACACATCCTTATCACAATAGATGCCGGCAACTCCTGCTCGTCCTCCTGTCTCCGGCTGGAATTCTCAGGGTCATGGCTTGCAGTGTCCCGGTCTCTGAAGCCACGGCTTCGACTCAGGGTACGAAGGCAGCGCCTGCAACTGCATCGGAAGCAACCA